ACAAAGTACACTCAATTAAATATACTTGTATAACACACGTAAATGTATGCACAGACACACAACCTCTAATTCTGTACTAAAACACACCCAATCACTCTACAACTTCTAGATCCTTTCCTGCACCCGGCAGAGCTCTCCCTGGGCTTATCACTGCATAATTGCTGTTGATTGGTGTATTATTGCTCTGGTTAATCTGCCTGTGGGTGGCTAATAAAGGAGCTCCATCAGGGATGTTATCAATCGTAGACAGAAGGTGTGCATGGAGCGAAACTGGAAGCCAGGAAAAGGGAAGGAGAGGGAGGGCTTGGAGCAAGGAAGGAAGGGGGGAAATATATGAAGGAAAGGAAGGTGAGAAGGGACTGTGGGATGAAAGGGAAAGAAGAATAAAAGTGTTTGATTCATATTGAAAGACAGGGAAGGACAAATTCGGAAGAAAAAAAGTCAGAAATCAAACGGGATTGTGGGTTTAATATGTTTGTGGCTCAGGATGTGTCCGTCTGGGGCAAAGTAAGGTAACGTCAGTGGGCTGGATGTTGTTCTGACAGAGTTGTGAGAGTGATCTCGCTCCCCGGAGAATCCTATTATGATTGATGTGGCCTTGTTCCTCGGCCTCAGTTCTATTTCTAAACAGAGGCTGGAGGAGGAGGATGCTGTGGTGAGGTGATTAGATTCCTCTCCATTACGCGGCAGGCTGAGACAGGTAGGATATCACCCACAGCAGACACACCTCGGTCCCAATGTCCTGTGCAATAACAGCGTGTTGGCAACTGACCCTGTGGTGTGAGAGGGGAGGCTAACATGACAAACTAGTGTTGCTTTATTCCACTGGGGGAACAAGCAGTGATTGAATTGGCACACGCTCCAGAGACCACTGAAAGAGGTGGTGGAGGATGGGGACGCAGACGAGTAATTCAGTAGCAAGGACAAGAAGAAGAAGCTTAAAGTCTGGGAAAGTTTGGAGTACATCGCTGCAGGCAAACTGAGGACATTAAACAACGGGAGATAAAGTATGATTTCACACACATCTAATGAAACTTCATCTGTCTCCAGCAGTGTTTTACACTGTCACAGTCACACACTGTAGCACCTAAACACATTTTAGCAAGTTTTCATTATTTTTCAAGTCAGGGCCTGTGTGATAGATGTTGTTTAAACTGAAGAGCTGGGACTGCCATTTGAGGAGAATTGGCCCAGGGATCAGAGAGGATCATTTTGCTACCTTTGATTTAATACATAGATAAAGTACATATTTTGCAGCACTCTGTCTTCCTCAAAACTGTGGAGTTGGTGCGTTTTCTTCAGCTTTGATCTACTAAGATAACCTAAAAGACTCCTGGGGAGTCAGCAACCACTACAGTTGAGCATGGCTCAGTAGGTGAAGGCCTGTACATGTCATTGATAAATTAGGCATTAAAGTTTGAACATGATAAATAATGTATGACCTAAAAAAAACCCTCCCATTTGAATTGGTCATATAATAATAAATTACTAAGTGAATCAATTTATTTCAGTCACGCTGCAAAGGTTTCGCTGAATGGAAAGACTGAGAAGGATTCATGTCTGTGATTTTAGTATGCGCTGTGGGATAAGAAATCCACTCTGAATGCTGACAATCTTCACCATCAGGTAATGCTTCATGTTACCCAAGTAGAAACCAGTGCTCAAATTAGAATTCAAGTCCATGTGGCAATGTTATTGGTGTAGAAAAGAGCCTGGAGGTTATTCTACTGTCTTTATGATAGCACCTCCTGCTGGTGAGCTGCTTGTATTGAGAGGTAAGACCTCTAGCAGTACTAGTAGTTGAATATAAAGAAACACTGTATATTCAGAAGAATGAGGGACGCAAAAGGTGAAAAGCCAAAGACAAATTACTATTGCCAGAACTTAACTTTGCTCCATTATTACTCATACAATTCACGTCTTTTGTTTTGATTGCACAGATCCTTCTTTCTTTGTCTATGGTCATATCCACTGGAATGCATCATTACCGTAACCTCTATTAATATAGCTTTTATTCTGAAGTCTTCTCTAGTAATCTCATTGATCAGACCCCAGATCCATCTCAGAAAACACACAAAAAAAATCTTCTATCTATCTTGACTATCTTGTAAATGCAGAATTTATAATAGCTGATACTTTTATATTATAAATGATACACTCTGACCTTGTCACTCCTAAAGGATACACCAAGATCAGAAACAACAGTTAGGGAGTGGCAATACATTTTATGAACATGGGTGATGTGGTGGAGGTGGAGGTTATGAAATGTTATAAGCACAGCAGCAGTGGCAGAAAGTGACTTTGGCAGTTACAGCATAGCTTTTAGGTGAGCAGTGCAAACTCAGGCGTGGCAGAGCAAAATAGTTATTAGAGCATTGACGCCTTAAGCCACCAAACTGCAAAGGGTGTGATGGATATACGTTGTGAGTGAGTGAGGTCATGTGAGAGCAGAAATGGACTCAAGGTGACTGTCTGAATTACCTTACCAAGGTTTAGCACATACGTAAATGAAATCACCACATAATAAAAAGGCAGAGTTGTAGTTTGAGTGCAACTAGTTTTAAACGACCACATTTTACCTTGCTTATCATACATAATACATACATACATGTTTGTATTTATTTTTTTGGGGGGGGGGGTTATTGTCTGTAATTGATAGTAATAGCTGAAGAGTGACAGGAAAGGGGGAGGGCGAGAGAGAGAGAGAGAGAGAGAGAGAGAAAGGGGATGACACGCAGCAAAGGACCACAAGTCTATCATTTACCATATCTGGACTCCATCAGAGGAAATCCATCATATTCTTGGCATAATGGGACACTTATTGTATCAGTGAATTGTATTAATCGATAACAAAAAAGCCTTTCATTTTTTCATTATTGCTACATTGATACTAACGGTTTAAGGGGTGGCTTACGAAGAATGGAAATCATATACATCATCTAGAAGACTAAGATTCAAACCACTTCAGTAAATGTATGGTCTGCTGTAGTGTCTGTGAGACTGCAATCTGACCTATAGTATATCTATAGTATATGTAATAAGACTTTAAAACAGAAGAAAGAACAGATGTAAGTGGGAGTTATTTATGATATTAATGTGTATTCAATTATTATTTAAGAGCTACATTTGTAACTACTCCACACCTGTGGTTTGCTCTCGACTGAGCTCACCTATTTGCATGATGGATGTCCTAATCTTCTTGGATTTGCTTCTCAAAGGATTTACATCCAACACATTAGGTTTGAACACTACAACTACTACTACTAACACTGTGCTAGTGTTTCCCTTCAACATTTGATTATTAAAGCAGACTGAAATGTACTGTTATCTTATTCTTCTCACCTGTTGCCAAAATGGTTACTGGCAGTCAGGGTTGGAAGGGTTACTAATTATCTGTCAAAAAATGTAGTCAGCAACCTAATCCAAGAATTACAATATTAAAATAACTTAACTTTATTACACCAAATATGCAAATAAAAATAAGAGAAAGGAAATGACAATAAGAAGTATTGATGCAAGTGTTTTCTATAAGACAACAGAGCAATGCAACCTTATTGTGTCCTCTGCTCAGTGTATTTTTAATAAATGTAAGTTTTCAGTAAGTGTAATGGATAAGTTACCTTTTCTTTGTATCCTAATTACACTACTTCACTTTACTAAATGTCATTAAACTCATCCAAGAGCTGATTTAACTGTTAACCTTTATTGTCTATTTTTGTTGGTGTTTTGTCATATAGTGTGTCATGACCCGACATTCATGGTGCTCACATAGTGCCATGTGTAAAATATCTCTCAAATGGTGGATAACGCAATAGGAACATTTTAAAAATCACATAACTTCATGTATAAATAGTCGCCTACAGTATATCTGGAATTAGATAGTCTGAGAGCACGCATTGGTCCCAGTATAAGCCAAATGGTTGATCCAGAACAATGAAAAAATGGAAATGCTATGTTGTAACTGCAAATGTCTTTTGTCAGTCTAATCAGCTCTATCAGACAAGGAAAAGTCCTCAGATAGGTAACACAAAGGCCTTTTCACACTGTTCAGAATTGCGTAATAGAGCTTTGTATTGTAATAACTTAAACCAAGCAGGAGGGGGCGCTAAAAGGCTGTTTTTCTGGTAGAATGGTGATATAACAAACCCGGATATCACCCAAACGCTCTTCTGGAGTGTCCATTTGCAATTAGTGTCTGTGTCACACACATGTGTCCTAAAACTAAAACATAGTGTGATAATCGTATATCAACAGCCAGATCAAATAGGACACATCTTCTTTCTTTCCCCCAAAAAACTATTATTTCTTTAATCACATATTGTCGCTTCTTTCTCCAGATGTTTTGTTCACAACACATCACTGTTGACTGTAATGGGACTGAGTGTTAAGGCACCATTTCCCCATTTCTAAACCCACAGCAGTGCAGACATCTCTGAGGGATAAAAATCAGACGTTTAATTCTAGCCACTGTGTATTGTTGGATCTGTGTGTTTGTGTTCACATGTTGAAAGGCTTAGCCTAATACAAATATTGTTAAAAACTATCCTATATATCACTGATCCATTAAAATAATTTACACTGAACATTAGGCACATTTAACCCAAAGTTCAAGTTCAATCCGCATCACCCACACAGATACAGTCATATCACACTCCTGTGTCAGGAAATACCCAGTCCACGTGGATTATCACACTACTAGCCTATATGATATTACCCACGCTGAGCCCTGGTAACAACGAGATTATACAAAGTGCTCTTAACTCTGGCTACAAAGACAAACTCAGATCTGTTCTAACTGTAGATGGCAGACATGCGGAAACAGGCTTCTGGGGGGAAATCTATACGTTTTCCAGCATCACTGGACTTCTGACAGGCAGACAGGCACTTTTACATTTACTGAACAGGCTTCCTCGAGGTGGTGATACACCGGATGGGCTCCCTGTCTCACTGCCGCATCCTGACTCGGACGTGACATACAACACGAGCGGCGACCACGGACCCACCCGATGTCATTAGCATGCACGTACGTAACGTCTACCGAGGGGGCTGTCTTTAAATACCGGGAGACTCCCCCTCCGCCGCACCACTTCTGCGGAAAAGCTGCACTCAGGAGGAGCAGACACATTCCACTCCGTGTTTCCACCTTTTAACTGAAGCCCTTAAAGGTAAGAAAACCCCGCTTTCGCTCACACATTACACATTACATCGCCTGTACACTTCACCTGGAATCATCTTTTATTTTTGACTCACCTGCCTGTCCATTGGTTAAAGTACTTTAAAAGGGAGGAGGTGTTGGGGGAGTGGGGGGGGGGCAACCTGATGCGCATTTTAGGAGGATAACTGAGAGCGGTGTGTCGCTATCAGTATCGATAATGGTGATTGGTTGTGAATGAGGCTGTTACTTGACTTTTTGACAGGTTACAGTGCTTCATGTGTGTAATGATCTGGTTTATGAAACAGAGAAGCGCAACAGGATATAGGCCTGTACGTTTCCTACTTTTTGCAGTAACGCACACATCAGTGAAATGAATGGGTTATGCTGTTTATAAATTATAGACATAAGAAATGTACTTACATCATCATTTATCGATAAAGAAATATATTACAATACAGGAAATATACCATCAGGTTAAGAACCCTGAGGAGCTGATGGTTTGGATCTGTGTCTGTCATTAGATTCGATGCTTTGCGTTGATGTAATGTGCGCAGTGTTACACAAGCGGTCACGCATGCCCTCTGCTGCTCGTGGCGACAGTCAGCCAGACAGCAGTCTGGGCCATACATGAACTTGGCACAGGAACTGCACTGCATCCATATTCTCCCCCAGTGGGAAGCAGATCTTAGTGAGAGCTGTGTTGGTGCTGCAGAATGCTGATATGGTGTAGCTGGTGCAATGAATGTGACTTTTATGATCACATCAGGTACTCAAAATATTGAGCTTACATTTTTTCTGATTTAATTAAAGCAATGCCACACTTGGCATGGAGTTGTGGATGAATATTTGTCAGTTGCAGCCGGTTGGAATCAACAGCAGATCTGTCTGATTACATTCTACAAATGCACTGTGGAAACAAAATCTAGTTTTTCCTGCTGATAAACTTCTCCAGCGTGTTTGGATAAATAGTGTTTTGTCTGATTGCATAGTCCAAAATAATTCAAGGGGGGCAGAAACAAGATGTATTCTCAGTCGCCTGCAAAGTAGTAATGTGGAAGACCAGATACTGTACCTCAGCCGTGATACCCGACACCCCATCAGAGCTCAGTAAACCCCCACTGACCTGTTGGTGATCAGTTACAGTAAATGTCATAATGTAGTGGGAAATATGATAATACAAGCATGCATGGGAAAGTTTAAGTTGTCCAGTTGTGTGCAACAGCTACTTATTTTAAATTCCAGAAATGAATCTAATCCGAAACTTGACACAAAACATCCCTCTCCCTCTCGCTTTCGAATTATATCGCATTAAATTCTTTCAGATACTAATAATCCTGCTTGTAATCCTCATTCAGTCATGCTACAGTAGTAATGTGGCAGGTTTGTAACAGCATATTTCATCAGTAAAGGAAGGAGCTTTGGCCAGTATTGAACATCTACAATAATCCTTTACTGTAAGCTAACACAGGGTCCTCTTGTAAAGCACAAACCCGACTCACTTAAGGGTCAGGCCCCGGTATGCTGTAAGCTTTCAGCTCACCTCGGAGTGAGAGATAATTGGATGATGGGATAGTAGGTATGACTGTCCCACGTACCATATCCTACTGTGCAGTTCACCATGGAGAGGTCTTAAATATCCTCTCAAGGAAGGTATTACAGTGTATTAATCCTGTTGGTTAGTCCACCACTACGTGCTGGTCTCCACATCGCAGAGAACCGGCCTAGTCATGCTGGATGATGTAAACGCCTGCAAGCGTGTGCACTCAGTCATGGCTGCCCAACCAGGAAACACAAATAGTAGTGTGTGACGTCAGCTGGTGATTTTCTGTGCTGCACGAAGACAGGCTGCAGTACTTGGTTGCCATGGAGACCCAGAGAGGCGCTGTGTAGCAAGAATTACTGTCTCCAAACCAATTATGGAAGTAAACCTGATAACGAGTGGTAGACTTTAACGTATGAAACTGGAACTTGTGGTTGTTAAGTCATAATGTTATGAGGTTATGACAAGGCCACACTTTCAATTCTCTATCTGAGAGAAAAAAGGGAAATTTGTGAGTTTGACTCACTCATTGTCGGATGAGAGAGTGGTCACGTACGCCCTTTTGTGAGTCTGTTAGTAGCAACACATTCAAACTGTCACATGCATTATGCACTATTAAGTCCCTGCGTCTCTCTTTCCACTCTCACCCCTCTGTACCTGATTACCTCTTTTCCATCCCATCCTTCCTCTTTCTGCTCTCTTTCCCCACCTCCCCATTCCCTTTTCCATTTCTCACATATCTATCCCTCATCCTCTTCCCGTACCCTTTTACTTTCCACAGATGTCCACCAAGGAGAAGCTCATCAGCCATGTGATGAAGGAGGAGCCTGTTGGCAGCAGGAACAAGGTGACGGTGGTGGGTGTCGGCATGGTGGGCATGGCCTCTGCTGTCAGCATACTGCTCAAGGTGAGATGGAAAGAAAGAGAGAGAATGTGAAGTGAGGAGAAATTTGAGTGGTGTGGTGTGTGGGTGTGTGTGTGTGTGTGTGTGGGGGGGGGGGATCAGTAAAGAGTGTTGAAATGAGCAAAGTGGAAGTAGGTGAAAGTAAATGGGGCGGCAGCTTAAAAGGTAAATTGGTGATAGTTATTACAGAACAAGAAGCTAAAATGAACTCATAAGTTAGTATTAGAGGCTTTAGATAAGCCCTTGACAAGTACAAACTTAGATCAACCTAAAAGTACCAGCTTCTATATGTAAGCCAATCCAAATCACCACTACTATTACTCCATTACGAATGCACTGATAAGGATTTGCAAATTATTCTCCAAGGGATGAAGGTGTGCTGACTGGTGAAATCAACTTCTGTAAAACCTGCATGCTACCTTACTCTACAAAACTGGACAGGAAGCATTCTGATTTCCTTATATTGTCCAGTTCCTTTCACAACCATTAAGTTGGATCTGTGCCATGTGAGGAACAACAGAGGTTGTGAGAAACTAAGTGAAAGGTCGTAGTCAAGGGAGTGATAAATGGTGTTTCATGGTTGTAGACCTCACTGTATATACTGTATATACTTATTGTATGTATGCATGTATATAATCAGGACCTGTGTGATGAACTGGCCCTGGTTGATGTGATGGAGGACAAGCTGAAGGGTGAGGCCATGGACCTGCAGCATGGATCCCTCTTCCTCAAGACACACAGGATTGTGGCCGACAAAGGTGAGAATGCACAAAAACAACTACAACCTGTGACTATTGCAAGATTTGTTTTCATGCTGCTAAGCCACTTGACCCCTTTTGAAGCTATAATCCTGTGTGTAACATTTCTCCTTGTGTCAATTTGTCAGATTACAGTGTGACAGCTAATTCCAAAGTAGTGGTGGTGACTGCTGGAGCCCGCCAGCAGGAGGGCGAGAGCCGTCTGAACCTGGTACAGCGCAACGTCAACATCTTCAAGTTCATCATCCCAAACATCGTCAAGTACAGCCCCAACTGCATCCTGATGGTGGTTTCTAACCCAGGTTAGAGGAGGGGGGTGTGTATGAGTGAGGGAGGGAGGGCAATGTGAGGAGAGACGGTGTGGTGTGGACTGAAATAGTGTTGAGGGATGTACTGTGATGTATATAATTTTACCGCCCGTAGCTCAGCACAATTCAAAAGGATCATTTTTAAGAGTTGTCCCCTCTGGTCCTTTTCCCTTCCAGTGGACATCCTGACCTATGTGGCCTGGAAGCTGAGTGGTTTCCCCCGTCACCGTGTCATTGGCTCTGGCACCAACCTGGACTCTGCCCGTTTCCGCCACCTCATGGGAGAGAAACTCCACCTCCACCCTTCCAGCTGCCACGGCTGGATCATCGGAGAGCACGGAGACTCCAGTGGTATGCACTGACTAAAAATAAAATCTCTGCCAGCCGTCCACTGTACCTGTTTGTTGGACTGTGGCAAATCTTTTAATGTAGCTACATCATTTGCAGGTTTTATGCTGCTATGATTGCCTTTGTCTATATAATTTGTATTCAGGATTAACTCATTTAGTGCGGTTATACATCTGTTTCTCACAGTGCCTGTGTGGAGCGGTGTGAATGTTGCTGGAGTTTGCCTGCAGGGCCTCAACCCAAAGATGGGGGCTGAGGGTGACGCTGAGAACTGGAAGGCTGTTCATAAGCTGGTGGTTGATGGGTGAGTACAAATTATTTTCCCATTAATCCACCAACGAGCTGAAAGAACTCTCTGAACTACCCTGAAAATCTGATTTTCTCTCTTGTACTCATCAATTTAATCTGCAAAGCAATAAGCCATGTGCATACGGGTCATCTGCCCAGAGCCGAGGTGGGAGCTGTAAATATTATGTTTTATGGAAAAAGATATTTGGGTTTTAATGGCCTACAGTCACATTGGCTTATTAACATCAAGACTAAAGCCTCCTACAGGCACAATTGAATCCATTGGAGCCGTCTGAACCTGGCAAGGAATTTGACCAGGGCTGTGAGCCAAAAGGCAAGCAGAGACGGTTACACAGTACACTGCTATGTTAAAGGCTCACCAGAGCATGGCAGCTAGCACAAACACAATAGCTATGCTACTCCCAGTAACATAAAACTACAGTTGTGCCAATGAACTCACTTACCTCAACCTCACCCTCCAAGGAAATATCTTTTATAATATTTAATCCTGATCAAAGACAGGCTCACCCTAAATTTTAAATGATCTGTTCATGTTACCTTATCATTATTGCTGTATTTGTTACTTAAGCCTGTGGTTGGATTTTGTATTGTGAAGTTTTGTCATTCCTTTGAAAGTTATTGACACCTGTAATTGCTGGTGGTAACAGCAAGCGCTGTTTAATACTGCAGGTCACAAAATTGTCTTGTTTTGTAGACACACAGGGTCCAAAATGTGGGATTTGGCAAACAAATAAACTGGGGTCACCGGCCAAGTTAAATAATTCACAGTTTAGGGGAAGGGTTACATCACTGTGTTTATTTATTTGTACCAGAGACTAATGTGACCCTCAGTCACTGTCCCCCCTACTTATCATCAAATCAAACCAGCTCCAGCCTGGTCCTTTTTTCTACGGTATGTTTCTGCCATAAGAGTGCATTACATGTTATTATGTTGTTATATGTTTGTACAAGTGATGCATGATGCAGTTTTGATTAAATATTAAAAACTTTTTGACTTCTTCACTGACACTGGAGTCAAAAAGTCAGTTTTGGACCATATAGACGCATTTTTGATGAACAGTAGTGTTCAGTGTCAAACCTCTTTTCCGGGAACACCAAAGACAAATGGTTTGTAATACTGCAAATATATAAATATTTCAGTACTTTCATCAGTTGGCCATAGGCTCAATCACCATTGTGTTACCTCATTTGGTGATAGATAGTGACATTTACTTAAATAAATATCTTTAAGATTATTACTTTTAAGTGATGCAACAGTTTGTCATGTAAACACAATACATTATGGTACAATATCAGTCAGTCAACCTGACTTATCACATATTAGCTCGGTGTTTAGGGAGGTCAACCATGTACAACACAATAGTTGATTTATCAAAGATGTTTGCAAAGGTTTCAGGTGTGAAATCCAAGTTTTCAAAAGGGGGACGGAGACAATGGGTACATTTACACAGTTGATGTCTCAATACAAAGAACAAAGAACCTCAGCAAAGGTGCTTCATTCTCCATCTCCATGGCCAGTAGAGGAGAGGTCTCATTTTAAATAAAGATGTTTGACATTTTTTAAATGTATGGGACAGGATGACATTGTCTGTTCATGTTTCTCTTTAGTTTTTTGGACCAGTTATATTAATTTGTTGCTCTGCATACATGCATACATCAAGATCAGCACAGCCGAGATTGGGGAGTGACAATTAGAAACCACAAAACACTATTACATACTGAACAAACATGCAGCTATGTTGCACTACTCTCAGGGTGATAAACTGCTGAATTCATAGCATGAAAACATCTGGAAAGATGATGGATGAGGGCTATTAGAGGAATATGACAAAGTGGGAGCAAACAAAGATGCAAATACTAAAGCTGACTGACAACTTGTTTGATTATGTGTGTGCACTGCAGGGCCTATGAGGTTATCAAGCTGAAGGGCTACACATCCTGGGCCATTGGTATGTCAGTGGCTGACCTGGTGGAAAGCATCCTCAAGAACCTGCACAAAGTGCACCCCGTGTCCACACTGGTCCAGGTGAGGAGATTGTTACAGATACAGTGATACAGTTTGCTGTTAGGCTAATCCTGCATGATAAAATTCATTAAATTCTTTACACAAACATAGACTGTCCTGCTAAACCTGACCCTGCTGTGCTCCTGTCATCTTATAGGGCATGCACGGAGTGAAGGATGAGGTCTTCCTGAGCGTCCCCTGTGTCCTGGGCAACAGCGGCTTGACAGATGTGATTCAAATGACACTGAAGGCCGATGAGGAGAAGCAGCTGGTGAAGAGTGCTGAGACCCTGTGGGGTGTACAGAAGGAGCTCACCCTGTGAAAAGCGGTTCTCTGAATTCTCCAATACACCCTAAAACCACCCTCAACACTGCGTGGTTGAGTCCCTCCTACCGTACCTCCTGTGCCCAAACAGGCAAATTAAACCTCTGAATATCTTAAAAAAAAAAAAGGCCATGTGTAGCTAAACCAGTGGAGGCTAGATTTTACCTTCAGATATTCAGTGTCATTTTCCTTTGCTGCCTCCCACCCGTCCTCCTGCCTCCATTAATGAATTCTCAGAAACACAACTCATACCTTTGGCCTTAACTCAGCCTGTGTTGGAGAAAGATGATATATATTTGTTGTCCTGTCTACACAAGAAAAGTAAGGCCAGTTGTGCGTATATACTCTGTGTACTGTATGTTACTGTGAGCGGTTGCTTCTTCTGTACACTCCTTGTCTGTAGTTTGTATTTATTCTGTGTATTCTGTGATTGTTGCCAGTTGGGTTTTTCCACTTGGTAATCTCTGTTTATTTTTTATTTTGAGTATAATGGAGACATTCCATTCTCTATGAGGAGGGCTTCCTATCCACCTACAGTCATAACACCACTGCTGCAGATATCACCGGGCCAGGATCCTGTGATACCAAAGTACCTTATCATTTGAGAAAAGCAATGCTACATCAACTGGTTGGCATTGAAGCCTTTGTAAACAAACCTAACCACAAGTGCACTGACAAAATAGCTATTAAAAGGTAAGGTTTAGAGATCTGTCAAGAAGCAACAAAGATTTCATCTGAGCAAATTAAAGGGGTTGCCAACAAGGCGACTTGCCATAATTTAACTCAGCAAAGAGATAACAGAGAGCCAATGGGAAAGAGTCAGCTACAATCACGACCCAGGGTCAGGTTATGAATCATAACAGAAGGTGTTTGTTTGTACACCCTAAATACCCTCAAAGGGTTTTGTATTTATGTTACTCCACCTGTCTGGACAAAAAAAAAAAAAAGTCATATTATTTAGAACTGTTAATACTGTTAAGATCTATTTATGTATTACTGTTACATATGGTCTATCAATCGCCTGACTCACTGAAGAACTGTACCTGTCATGGCAGCTGGATATTGATTTTTATTTGCTGTAACATCAAATAAATCTGCCAGGATACTGATACAAGTCTGCCCTTTGTCCTTTCCTTTCCTGTGTTTTTCACCCAACCTAGCAAAAGGCAGTTTGTATGAGTTTGCAGGCAGCTGACTCAGCTGCTCTCAGCACACGACTCTGGGGTCAACACAAGGCAGATAGAGCTTTTTATGCAGGAGATCTAAATGTGGTCACTAGCTTCTTTATGTAGCGTTGTGGCAAGCTGAACACGTACACCTACTGTAGGTGAATACTGCTGCACCTGCTGACTAATACTAGCATTTAAAAACCATCTGTGTTTGATCAGTACGTTCTGTGATTTGAGTTTGTCTAACAGGTGTGTGCAACAGAGGACACTATTAGTTTTTACTTTTCTGTGATTCAAACAAAACTTTGACATATTAATTAATGAAATGATCACAAAGAGATGAACCATTAAATCAGATTTCTTTTATTTGTACTGATTTACATAAATCTACAGATATAAAAGAACAGGTGGTCTATGGTTGAAATGGAAACGAAAAAAATAACAGTAGATATTCTATCATACAAGTCAAAGTGCATTTAGTAAAAGGCTAATTTAAATGAGACCTGTTTGCAATCTTTACATAAGTTAACGTTTTGATTAGTACAATAGTCATTTATTTTTGTACCCTAGTACACTCCGGCTTTATTCACAACCTTTTCCTTATGTTTACTGAAAACCTAAACCTCTCAGCAAGACTGAGAATGAATGGACAGCACAAAGAAAACCGAAAAAGGAAAAAAAAAATGAAGAATTTAGAATAAAGTATGTCAAGCCTGTCGTCAACCTCAGACAGAGACACTGTACAAAGTAAACCAACCAATGTACAGGATTGGTTAATGCTGTCAGACCGGAGGGCAGACCTGAGCAGCTGACATACAATGAAAGAACCTCACTCATACCATTGTAAAGAGACACACACAGAACAGGGGAAAACACATAGCAGTGAGGACAGGTGGATATGGGAGCTCAAAATGTAGCTCATCAACAGAATAACAAACGAAACAGCTCAAGTCCATGTTCATCATCACCTCCACAGCATGGCTCCATAGCTACTGAACATGACCCAGACCACATACAGCATTAAATCCTGAGGCTGAACCCTTGTCTTTCCTGAAAGGTTGCCCTGGGTATTTATATCAGAGCCTAACCTTTTCATTATGAAGGGCGTGGACACATGGGGCTCTCTACAAAGCCTCTCTCTACTAGCCCCCTAACAATTTGTGCTTACTAGCCAAATGACTTTGTCTGCCAAAGCGATTGCAAACAGAACTTGTAGGCTACCCTGCAGCGCAACCATAAAGTCTATGAGTACAAAATATACAGGTCGACACACCAACTCACGGTGCGCAAGCCCAGCTGCACCACAAGCACACACAGAGCAAACACAGAATAGACTCGCACCTCACTTTTACAATATGGCATGTGTGTTGAGCATGTTTTTGTGTCAACTGCGGTAACTGGTTCACAATGTGGTCACAGTGGTTTTTGTTTCACGTTGGGGCACAAAAGTAATGCTGTCATGACTGTTTATGCATAATGATCTCAAGGAAGTATTTGGTCAGATCAAAATACAAATGATGTCCTACCAGAACTGTGGCTACACAGTTTAAAATTTCCACTGTGCTAAACAAGACAGTCCAATCCTTCATAGATGTAGTTTTAGTGATTCTCTGTTGCAGCTGTTCAGATTTCTGTCTCACAATAACAGATGTTATAGAGATTAAAAAGAGGGCAGCTGTTTGAACTTTAAGAAGACATTAAAAAGGGAATAAAAGAGAGGAGGAAGAGAAGAGAGTAAGAGAGCGTGAAGATGCGTTTCAAGGTAGTCGTGTGGGTCAGTAGAGGTCACTAAGGCCGGCAGTCTTGCGGGCTTTCTGCATGAGGGCACGAAGCTGGAACTGCTTCCTGGACAGAAGGCGTACATGCTGTAACAAAAGAGAACAAGAGTCAATAAAACTAAAACCACAGAGGACTCAAGTGTGTGTATGTCTGTGTCTCTCTTAAGGTGAGTCTACACAGGAGCCCTTTTAGGCATGTTTTTCAGTCGTCAGTCTGAGTACGTCACGTCTGACAGAACAGATACAGATTCTACTTTAATCAAATACAGGCTGCGTAGTGGCTCGTATTTCACTCGCACTATACAGGCATAAAAATGCGACCCAAAGCATATTTTTAAGATTCAAGTCAATTTTTTTTCTGTTTTTCATTCATAATTACAGTGATTGTGTGTTGGGATCTGAGTGTCAGCAGCTCTCACAGACTCACAGGCTGCTCTGCTAAAATGCTGCTTTCACTATGCAGGCTGTGCAGACATTATGTTATGCATTAGTGGCAGCTGTGTTGACGTGGTCACCTTGAGAAAAACCTCCAGGTCTATGACGCCCCTGCGGAGAGCCTCTCCCAGGTAGAAGATAGTGTCCTCAATTGCATTTTCTTCAGCATATAGGTTTAGGATCTGTTTGTACAGCGGAGCTGTGGGCACAATGACGTCATCGATGTCATTGTTCTCGGACTGGTTCTCCATCTTCTCCAAGGCCTCACTCAGCTCCTCGTCCTTTCTCTTCAGCAGATCAATATTCCTGTCAACCTCAGTCTAGTGGAAATAATTACAACCATATCATTTTTGTTATTATGGGGAAAAAAAAACATTATAAGAGAGAAGAAAACAATAGAGGACAGAATAAATACAGATGTAATATTGAAAAACAGGAGGATCTCTCACCACTTCCTGGTCCAGTCTTGAGACCATCTCTTCCAGTTTCTGATGTCCTTTCTTCAGGTCCTCCTCTGTTCGCTTCAGGGCATCCAGCTCTGCCTGAGCTCTGTCCATCTCCTCCTTCATCCTCCAGCGAAGCTTGTCACTCACAGCTGAAATCAGAGATGCACGGATGGTGTCCTCGCCAATGGTGCCATCTCTGCTCGGGCCTGAAGAGGTTAAGAAGGGGACATGAGGCAGTGAACACAAGAAACAGAAAACAACAGCTGGCAAAAAAACCCTTTAATTCAAACAATATCCTACCCTAAGGTTTCTGGCATCTACAGCCAGTGCAAAGAAGCACCACAGAGACATCACCGGCATCAAGTTCAGATTAACTTATGTTGGGTAACAACTTTAAGGAAAAGCCTACATTAAATGTCTTAGTAAAGTGGCCATCTTAAGCCTCCAAAACAGCTTCAGTGCTTCTTGACATACATTCTCCAAGTCTGTGGAGCTCTGCAAGAGAGATGACCACCATTCCTCCAATTTATATTCACGGATTACGTAACAGTTAGTACAATTGCATGCATCAGGTTTTTCTAATATTTTGTTCTCACACATGTGTACATGAGAAAAACAATAAAATATCAGACATATCGGTCAATAATACACAACAACAAACAAAAGCTGAAAAAGCTGAAAAATACCAGGTTATGCAAGTGAAAAGGCACTGCTGGATGTCTTGAGAGTCAAGACCACCACATATATAGTTTGGAGTCAGCACTACAAATGTCAGAGTTGATTCAGCCCTGAGATCTGAGTAGTCTACAGGCAAACCCATTTTTCTCCTTTACTAAATATAGGAGAGAGCTAAAGTTCCTCCTGCATGCTGGTCCTTGACCAGCATTTCACTGGTGGTAACTGATGTTGGGACAGCAGATAGGTCCCCTGATCATAGGTCTGTCTTTGTGTGGAGTTACTGTTCACTTCCTAAATATAGCGCTGTGTGCTTCTGAGATGTAGGGTGTGAGGGCAAGAGGGGGGGACTGTTCCTTTCCCTTAAGATTCATCCCACCCTTTGGCCTTTAATGCTCCCCACTCTAGTTACACTAATGACCTTTCCCTGACGGCTATGCACGCCACCGAAGTCACACAGAGGGTGAGAGACTATGAGTCATAAGGTCAAGGTTTCTTAATTCAGGTTTAAGTGCAGACCATGGAAAAAAGAAAATGTTTTGTTTTTTCCAGGGGTGAATTAAGCTTTTGCTAAGAAATGAGTCAGTGCACTGGAATATTAAAAAACAAAAAGGACATACATAGAAAAAAAAACTACTTCTGAGTGAACACATTCATCTGTATCTTGTTGTGCTTGTGTGTAAAAACGTTTGAATCCTGTGCTAAATGTACCCAAGAGAAAGAAAAAAAAAAGCAGCCCAGAATCTTAATATGATACATACCCACTGTGGAAACTGGAGTCTGGGTAGGGTAGTGTGTAGGCCCAGCAGTGGCTGGGTAAGAGTTACCCCCTTGGTACTGGTATCCTGGATAGCCTCTGCAAATAGTTCAATGTTCAACAAAGAGCTAATTCTTTACATTTTCAAAAATGTTACATGACATCTATCTTTAACTTTTAGCTATAAATGTAACTGAACCAGTGCTGTATTTCTGACTGACATGCTGATTAAGAAACCAAGCATGCCAGGGCAGGCTTGTTGGGAAATGCAGTGTACATATGTTAGCTGGGGCAGAGGGCTGAGAACTGCTTGGCAAACATCTTACCCTGGGTTGGGATTTGGGCCGTAGGGGGAGACTGCAGGCATGCCAGGCATGTAGGAAGCTGAGGTAAAGAGAAATAGTGAAACAATCAGATCCAGGCACATACAAGTCCAACTATTCTTTATCGCTTTGGCTTTTCACAGACACATTCACTCTCATTTTTCCATGGTGTGTTGTAGTGGTATCTGAGCCCCATCTGGTGCTTAAGGAAATAAATGCATCACTTAAAACACATTGCAATAATACAGTAAGTAAACCAATATACATCAGCAGTAAAACCTAAAATTAACCTTAATTTTTCTTTACTGTTTTATAGTGTTTATTCAACTTTATGGACATTATAGAAGCTGTAGGTTGTGGTGCTTATTAATTGTATTATTTATAAATAGTTATTGTTTCTAATATTTACAAAACCATCACTAATATAAATTGGGTCAAACACCTTTTAGTGTATTAATTGGTGTTCAGTGTGTAAATACTTCTATTAGCACCATATCACTTTGTATAAAAAATTCTGTGGATCATCCTGTTCTTCTGTTCTACTCTTACTGACAACTCCTTGAGCCACTTAAGGCCAGGACACACCAACCCGACGGCCGATAATCGGGTTGGTGTGTCCGGACCTTTAGATTACCCTGTTTATATCAACAATTTATGGCACTCACGGTTAGGGGGTCCAGCTGCTTGGAAGGCCTGGTAGGGGGCTTGTGTGGTGGGGCGAGAAAACACAGGAGGCTCCTCTCCAAACACCACAATCATCACCTGAATCAAACCATACAGGTCTGACTGCGGCTGTAAGACATGCAGTGAAGGGCAAGTTTTATCAACTAAGCCAACAAATGCAAAATGTTATTCAAATGATCAACAGCCAAGCCACTGGTCAAATATTATCTAGGGCCAGATGGATTTATTGCCCTCATGATTGCACCATTTTGTGCTTACTGAGTGGTAGTAATAGACATATACATTGTAGAACTACAGTTTAACTTACTGTGATACTGTAAATAGTGTTGTTAAAAATACTGATCGAAGACCTCACACTTACATGCTTCCACTCATGTAGATAAGGCAGGTAGATCTTGCCATTGGCATCAATGTGTTTGCCAGTTTTTATCATCATGGCACTGGTAGGTTTGACAAAACATATGGGAGGGTTGTAGGGATAAGTGTCCAACAACCACAGACACACTGGGATGTTGTAGACATTGCCTACAGGAAACACACAAAGGCACAAACTGTGTTCTCTTGAGACGCACTTTTGTATTCAGCTCCAAGGAGCACAGACGACCTTTACGTGAAGTAAACTAAAATTATGATATACTGTATTACAAACAAATACATTTTACTGTCTAATAATCTCCTGCAAACTTGAGTCTTGAGTAAGACTGCAATGTATGTTAGAAATCCAAAACTGTGGGTTTGGCTTTAAGCTCACTATAAGATGTTCTGTTAGAAGATATGTTCCATTTCCTGAATGAAATCTAAGCCATGATGTCAGAACAGAAGAAAAGCTGGCAGATCGAGGACACGGAGTGACACAATACAAGTCGGAGTTTGTTTGCAGTCACACATGCTTGTTCTAAAATTGATCTGACTTACCCTATTTGAGAGTACGGTGACAAGAGCTACACAAACTCACACTTAACTTTCTATGCCCCAGTCCTTTCATAATCTATTGAAGGAAGAATGTGCATAATTTGTTCGCAAGAGAAGCGTGCTTTACCTCTGTAGCTCACTGGGACAGTTCCTGTCAAGCTCATCAGGTCTCTTGTGGAGCCATCATTAAACACTGAAACATAAGAAGATTCCATGTCCAGTAGCAAAACAAGTTGGACATATATACCATCATATAAGCACAGAATATGTAACTGAGACCACCAGACAGTCGAAAACAGGAGGCGAGTATCATTCAATTTACCGTAAGCGTCCATAAGCGGCTTCAAGTCCTTGTACTGGGAGATGACATTCGTTATCTCACGAACAGTCAGATCTCTGTATTTGTATTGCTAGGTAATGATGTCAAATGAAGAGAGGAGAAAAGGAGACGTATGTTAGTATACAGACACTTTAAACATAATGCTGACATTCAGGTAACATGTTTAAAGTGAACTGACACAGCTCAGTTTTACTTAGGTAGTAACTTTTGTGCAGCCAATACAATTTGTGGTTTAAATGTAAAAAATTGTTGCCTCGCCATCAGGTCAAGCCTGCTGTCACTCCCACCTCGGTTCACAGATCTCAGACTTACACTTGCAACTAAATCTTAGTTGTTCATTCCAATCTTAATCCAGAAGGCACCTGTAATGTTTGTTTCAAACAGCTGAAAGGCCCACATTTTAAATTGAGATGAGTTGTGAAGTACTCAAAATGCTTATGTTTCACTTCCGAATAAACCTCTTAAATTAAGTATTTAATGAATGCATGAGGTTTATTGTAATTTTTTACAGATATAAGACAGTACAGGCACTTAGGAATTCTTGTGCGTAACTCAGTTTTTAAAACAGAAAGGAAAAAAAGAAGACGGTATAGAAAGGTACACACTATACAAAATAAAATATGTTAAATATATAGTTGTAAAGGCTGATTAGCCTTGAAGAACCTGTGCATTTTAGCACGAATCTGCCCTTAACATGGAAAACGTTGCTTAACGTTAATTCATTTATATTTAATAGAAGAAGAAACACTCAAACAAGAGGTATTTTCTTCATTGAGATTGACAAATTATTCTACAGGCTGTAAAACTGCGGAAGCATTGATGTAAAAACGAAATTGGCAAAAAACAAAAAAAACAGCCACATACAATAATATGAATTATGGTTTAAAAACATGTTAATAATTAAAATATTAGTGATGCCAGCTAGCTACGTGGCTATGGTAGATTGTAAAACGCAACAGAGAGATTAATACGACGGTTCTCCTTCATATGAAAACCAAAATGTTTGAACACACACCAGGAAATGTGTTTCTGGCTAATGGTGTCATGTTTGGTGTATCGGTGAGCTAACTTGCAGCAGGCTTTACCTTCAGCATCTTCTTCAGGGCACCTTCGTTGACAACCGCCATAGTTTTCCGAGTGTTTGTTTGTTCTGAATTAGGAGTTAAAAGAGTAAACAGCTGGCTTTTTAAGACGCTAGCAGGTCTTTGCTGGATGCTAGGCTAAAATTAGCCCAGCCTCGGGCCCGACTACAGTTACGACACTGATTCGGTGTCTATTGATCTTCAGTCCCGAGCGGGTAATGGCTCTGCTGCTGGCGCGCGAATACTCGATGATTTACGTGAGAGTAGCGAACAGACAGAAGCAGCTCATCAATAGTTCTCAAAAGAGGCCGAAAAAAACAAATATGTGATAGTCAACAAAAGGAATTTCCGGTATTCCACCTGACTGCTTCCGGTCCGCATGTGACGTGAGAAAGTAGGCGGGTGTTTCCCAAGCTGTGGTCCGGGGTCCCCTTAGCGGTCTGAAGTATACCCAGGCGGTCTACAACAGAAAAAAAGAATCGGTTTCTCATTTTCTTTCATACAACAGTATTTATGAGGATAAGTGACTCATACTGTTGATGGGACTTCTACAGTAGGCTACCTTTATGTCATTTATTTTGAAAAAATCATGATCTCTGACTGCTTTAAACTGAAACACTCCTGTATCTTTAGCGATTCTTCAGAAAAACTATAACTTTATATACTTTGTTATTCTCTAAGGTAATACATAATAATACATCAAAGGTGGCTATCAAATAAAAAGTAGGACAAATATACAGTCAGCTCATACCCATCAAGGATGCCTAGGTGTAGAACCAACACTTACACACACAAAAAAAAATGTTTTTAAGAGAAAAAATTGTTTCTAAAACTTATTATTGTACAAAAAAGCCATTTCTACTGATCACTTACTGTTGAGGGATAAATGGCACATGACATTTGATGAATGGGATATTTAATGTCTACTCCCCATTAAATTAGTCGTTTACATATTAAAAATCAAAGGCTTACTAAGTAATTATAAATTATAAAAATAACGTTTGGCTAGTGAAAGTGGTTCCCAAAATATTAAACGCAAACATATTTTCAAATTGCACTTTATTTACAATATGAATCAGTCACTTTTTACAAGAGGTTATATTATGATGTAAAGTTAGTCTTGACTTTGGGAATAGTTTTGACTTTTGACTCTGAAGAAAGGTTTTGGATGAACAATTTTAAACACAGTAACAGATATTAAATCAACAAGCAAAATATATTTCCTTACTCTAATGAACAACCTTGCAAACTGTTAAAAGCACTAGTTTGTAATGGAAAAATTGTTCGAATGTCTCTCTGTCAAAAGGAAAGGAAAGCTGCACTCTTCTATAATAAAGCATGCTTTACTGGGCTCTACCTGGCTGTGTATGGGTTCTCCAGATTACTAACCTTTCTCTCCACTGGTCAAAAGTCTAAAACATTTATGATAAAGACACAACAAATACCTTTGGGTGCAGCTCAGGTACATTTTTATGAGCTGCTTGTAAAGCAATTTGAGTGTATTGCACACAGAGACGTTCAAATCCCAAAGTAGTTTGTTATATTCATTGTATGGAAAACATTTCAGATTTCAGATTTAAATTAAAAGAAGGCATACATTCACACCAAACACAATCTATATGTTTTCATCTGGTGCCACTTGACATTTACAGTGTAAATAGTTTGAAGCATGTTGCTATTTGTCTGAAATGATTAATTAATGAAACATAAAATAATCAATGGATACCATCTGACACTGGCACGGGATAAAACACTTCATCACAGGCAACACACAAACAATCTTTACACAAATTATTGGGAGATTCTACAAAAAGCTAACAGTTGGTTTCATTTTCTTGCTGGGGAGGTTGGTCATCTTCTCTGGATAAATGCAGATGCAAACTTCCATCTGTCTTCCAAAGTACTTCTGCATGTCTCTGGAACTGCAGCCAACCTAAAAAAGAATATATTTCTCATTTCAGGAGGGTGCTTGTCAACAACTAAATTTGTAAACAGGTTGACAACGAAAAGGTATCACAAGCCCTAATTATGAGGAATGAACTTAGATTCACTCTTCAGGCGTGGCCTAGATACGAATCTTGGATCTGCCTTATCAACATGAACTTGTATCTAGGGCATAGATACTGCTGGTGTTGTTCTGAAATTACATGGAGGCTTGCTTTCTGCCTGTGTGAGTGTTACTTACAAGAGGATTGTTCAAGCTCTGGATGAGGTTGCATGCATACAGGGGGGAAGTCTCCAAACATGGCAACCATCACCTGCAGAAGGCTCACTAGGTCACATTCACCCTGGTCGGGGAAAGGAAAAGTCACACCAATGTAAACATGGTTGTAAAACTCTAAAGCACACCTTAAACCTTGATGATACCATTGTCTGTTTAGGTGCAGCCCTATCAAAAAATACATCATAAAGTTGCACTTCTCACATTCTTCCACTCCTCCAGGTAAGGCAGCAGGACTTCACCATTGCTGGAGATATACTTTCCTTTGAGGACCATCATCTCACGTGTGGGCCTGACATAGCATATGGGAGCAGTTTGGGGGTAGCTTTCCTCAATCCATAAGCATACTGGGATGTTGTAGGTCTTGTCTTGTGTAAGAACGGGGGTGGGGGGAAAGGTATGTTATTTAGCATATTCTGAGAAATTATGATCTTTATCTTTCTTATTTTGGATTTGAACTGACCAGAATCAGCGTCAAATTCAAGTTATGATTTGGCAGCTTTATCAGGTCACGCAATACAAAATGGAAAGTCACCGTTACCTTCATACATGACGGGAATGGTTCCGGTTAGACTCATCAAGTCCTTTGTGGTTCCATCATTGTAAACTGTAAAAAAATGAAACAATGACTGGTTTAGAGTACCTGTTGAAAATGTCCACAAGTTCAGAAACAGATTGTTGGCTGTTATTTTGCTTCTCACCATATTTATCCATCATGGGCTCGAGGTTTTTGAAGTGAGTCAGTGCAATGTATATTTCATGGGCCACATATTTGCGAAGATATGACTTTGAGGGAAAAAAAGGATAAAAAACACACTAAAAAAATCAATGTTTTGATTTAGAGAAAATTAATTCTTCTTTCCGTTGTTAATGATCATCTTACCTTAGGGAGCATTTTCTTAATCGTATCCTCATAGTATAACATGATTATGGTTTATCCAAAAGGGAAATAGTACTTTTTCCTTGTATCTTTCCGATCAACAACACTCAACTAACCTTGCCTTTCCTTCTCTCTGGGGTTTATGGTCCTGTCCTGTCTTTTATGACCGTTGAAAGCCAGTGGAAGAACAGCCACACGATTATGCAAATCATCTGCCCTAAGAAGCAGCAACTATAGGCTACATGACTTAAACAAACAAGACATAAATATAACGTTGATAACAACAAAATATAATATTAGTATTATTGATAATGATAACTTATGACTGCTAGAGAAGCCATGCTTTGGTTGTTGTTTGGATAATGGAACCATCCAATCTCTTGGATCAGGATCAAGATCACGATCATACTAATTTTGCTTCTATATTGGTACATGTCCTGTATCTCTTTTACATCTATTCAGCACTTATAATCATATTTGCAAAGTACTATCAATAATGATTATTATGTTACTGACCTATAATGCCTTTTAAACCATTGAGTTCAGTGATACCATATGGGTTACCATACATAGTAACATATATAACACTGAATAAAAGCAGTAATAAAACGTTTTGATGCATACATACCATATTTTAATATTATATTTATCAGTAGAGATTAGCTGTTCTTTTTACAATTAGCTCACTGTCACTGAATGTAACAATTTTGATATTGCATTTAATATCCATTCATATATAATTAGATAATATGTACAAATGAGTAATTTATTATGCCATCATGAGCTACTTTACTGAAATCCACTACACAGTTCTTCCTGCATACTTCCCCCTTCTTTTCCAGTTGCTGGAAACGACCAACAAACACACACACTTGACCCATTTTCAGTGCAATACAATCATTTGTTTTAAATAATCCAGCATCAGTGGTATATTGAGGCAAGAAGAATCATTAAAATTTGTTCTTTGGGAGTGTCAATGTTTCAAGAAGTTAACAAATCTGAAAAATCGTTTATCCGTGCAACCGAAAACTTCTCATAAATGGCAGTGCTGATGGGAAAACTCTTGTGTAAACACCTTTATGACTGTCCTTTCATCACAGCTGTACTTGCCCAGATTGTGTAAACTACATATTATTGCACATTACGATCCTACCAACAGGGGAAATGTTTGTCAAGAACATTTATACAGTTCAGCTGTGTTCATACTACTTAAACAGAAGTTTGTAATTTAGTATTTTTTGACAAATATCTGTCCTAGCCTGTCATATTCTCAAACATGATACACAAAGCAGCCTGTAGGTGGCAGCAAATCTCAAACATGATGTGAAAGTTAGATTTTGGTTGAGGGACCAAAGACACAGTTTCATCTTGACATCTTTATTCCTGTCCTGCAATACATTTGCCACATTTTCAAAGAGTAAATACATCTTAAATAGCTAAACAGTTGACATTTTCACAAATTCCTTCCACACCTCAGTTCCACAGTTTGCAAGAAACAAGCCCTTGACCCCACTGTGTCCTTGTGCAAAACTCCCAATGGTCCGTACAGTCTTTGTCATGCTCGCCAGGTTTGCTGACATGTATATTTGTGATTTGCTGGCTGGAGTATCCCTGGGGCAACATTATGCTGATATTCTAATGCAATGGGAATTTAAATACACAGATTTGTGGAATTCTATGGTATTACTATCATGGATGTACTGTTTAAAAGATTGACAAGGTGAGGACAAGCATATTATCAGGACTGTCATTACATGTTACAAACACCACACTCTTTTTTTCCATTAAAAAGTTTGAGTACAGTGGGTGAAAAATAAAAGTTAGGAACAACACAGCCAAAGGTGGGACCAAGGATCAACTCTTGCATTATTTCAATATTGTAAATGTTTAACACGAAGCTTCTTTCAAACAATATCTAAAGACTCAAACACATTCACAATTCATATCATTCCTCCAAGCAGAGAAATGAACAGTTAACTGATAAAAACAACTTGACCACTACCATCCACACAGTAACTAGACTGATCATATTTCTTTGAGCCATGTTATGAGTGAAAAAGAGTCGTTTTAACTGTACAAAATCAATTAGATCAGAAATAAAATGTTCACTTCCCTTGAAAGGACACAATGGCAAAATAACGTTTGACGTCTTTCACAGAAGAGGTCTAAGATATCGTTGAGGTTTGCATCTGAAGCCTGTTGACAAAACCTCCCTGTAGTGTCTGGAACTCCGTACATTATCATACATAACCAATCTTCTGAAATGTTTAAGTATAATCTGGACTAAAAGTAACTATTTCTAGTAATCACCATCACATGTTCCAGTGTAATGGGAATGAATCTTCATATAAAGGGAGCAAGACAACTTGGCTTATACTGGGCCTTGTCTAAGTAAGTCTCTTAAACTTTGTTGGTTTTTTTTCAGTCTTGTTGAACAGAGTTGAACATTCAGACGCACATGCCATTACAGAAAAAACCCTTTTTTAAAAACAGTGTAGTGTTTTTAGGGACTTGTCTTTCAAATTCTATACAGCGCATGTCTAAACTCAACACACTTCTAGATTTTTTAGTTGCACACATAATCAAACAGAAACAAAACAATGCAGCCGACAGAACACATACTTGTCTCAGGTAGAGCTCGCTGCATACATGAGGTACAAACTAGCTAACAGATAAGGCAAAGTAAACACAGAGCAGTCTTTTTCATTTAGGCAGCAAATTAATGCAGGTGTGGAGAGCACAAGCTAGTCAGTATTAAGAAACAAGCAATGCACTCCCATAACCCAATATCCATCACCTATTACACACAATAGTCCCACGTATACAGTAAATATGGTTCTGACATGAGTAGCACCTGACCTGTTATTGTTCCTTTGTAGGTAGCTGAGGTGGCAGAGAAAGAGGAGCAGTTTGAGGATAGTATGGTGTGTGGAAAAAAACTGACTTTAGACTCTGAGGCAGGACTTGTGCATTACACTCTGCAAAGCTAACTGGTGACATCCTTTAACCCTGGTTTCCAGGACTGATTCCTGAGCCTTATTATCCAAAAGGAGCGACTCTTGCAATCTAAAAAAAATAAAAAAGTTGTTATCACTGCGAACTAAACTGAAAATTGAAATTGAAATGCAAGAAAAATCAACTGGTTGTCATTTTGTCTAAACCATAACCTGTCATTGTATATACAAGTGTAGGGTTTTCCAACTATTCTACAGGCAACCTCTCCAGCTTTAGCAACTACATTTTCATGCATGGTACCTCTCCTTCCTAAACCAAAGTAAAACAGGGAAATAAGTAGCCATGAGTGATGGTTTGTTCCCAATACTTTGTGGACAGTAAAGAATCCTATTGCACCAGAACCTACGTACACTAGCCATTACTATTATTATTCCACAAAGACAAATCTTAGCAAAGAAACTTCTGTAAGGAAAGAAGGCAGCTGCATTCCTGAAATTCATCTATCTTTATATTCTCCATTCAACAGTTCTATCCCAACAGGAATTCCGACTATGTCAGACAGGTCATGAAGAAAATGTCAAACCAGGTGCCATCTGAAATAAACACCATAGTTCACATATTGCTCAGTGACTTTCAAATTCTGCAATCGCAAAAAAAAAAAGTTCCATATCAAAAACAAAATCTGACATTTTTTTCTTTTTTACAGCTAGGCTAACTGTTAAACAACAACAACAATTTATAGTCATTCCCATGTTAGCCTCCACCCCTTGTATCTAGTATGAAGGGACTACACAGCCATTTGAGGGAAATCAAAGGCAGGTAGAGCGGGATGGGCGGGGTATTTTTGTGAGAGGTGTTTGGGCAACTAAATGTTCATTCCAGTCCTTTCCATTTAAGTCAGTCAGTCCTTCCAGTGGGCAGGCAGGGAGAGTGGAATTGGGCTTTTCAAGGTGGGAGGAGGTCAGAGACACCCCCTTTTAAGACCAGTGTTGAGACTGAAAACAATAAGTTAGCAGGAAACTTGTGGAGCTATCCAGCGAGACCACACTGGAGTTGACAAAGAGTCATTAGTGGTGTTGCTCACAAGTCGACGTGTGGACCGAAAAAAAGGGCCGGACCAGGCTAGTTCAGGTAGCCACTTAGGCAACAGTCCAAATCCTCCTTTCCATAAAAGGTCTATGGTTCAGTCAGCTCTGGTGGTTTCCTTGAGAGCTTTTGCTTCAATCATCTTCTTTTTGAAAAAAGTTTATATTTCATCATTGACTTGTTTTATCTTTCTATCTTTAAGTCCATGCTGCCACTATGTGCTGTAGCATTTCTCCTCAACGTGCAACAGTCAGCTGGGGAATGAAATGACAAAAGAAGGTGACAGATGTTAGTGCCATTTTATTGTTTCTAGGAAAACCGAGATATAATGAAACATTTAACTGAGGGAGATGAGGTTTCACCTTTGTTTTTACTCTCAGTAGGCAGTCATATACATTAAAAGTTAGCATAACAGACCAATGTGGAGACTTTCCTTATTATGGTGTATGGTGAAAAGAAGAAAAATGCATTTCTGGAGAAAATGTCTCACCTGCATCACGATACCACACAGCGACAACTCATACAGTCCTGACCACTCTCATCAGGTGGGTTCAGCTTCCGCAGCTTATGCTGTCTGATCTCCCTAACCAGTGTGTAGAAGGCGTCCTCTACTCCCTGTAAACACACGAACAAAACAGAAGGTTACAGAAAAATACATTACAATGGTCAACTGTAAGTGGAGTACACTGCATGAACCTCTTATAACTGGCAGCAGACCTCTCAGGTGTACTCACCATTGAGAGGCTTGGCAACATCACCATGGTAACAATGATCATTTCAGACATTGTTAATCAAGAAATTGAAATGGCTAAAATGACGTTATGGCTAAGCTTTTTTTTTTTTTTTTTTGCATACTCTTCTGTTTGAATGACAGACTTCCTGCAGGTTCAGTGATGAATGTAAGAGTATGTATGTAGATACATAATGTGTGACAGTGAGTCACAGACAGTGGGAGCTGTGCAGCAACTTGTCCTTATGGAGGCCTTTCAAATACTGTAGCTCTGTTCTCAAGCCAAGGTAACCTGGCTATGAGTCACTGCCTGCGGCATAATAAAATGTTCCCAGCAACACAAATCCCATCATACCGCGGGCCTTTCACTGCTCTTCATGTGCATGAATACACGTGCAAAATGTAAAATTATAGAGCCCATACTAGAGCACTGTCATAACATGTTGCATGATGCAGCATAAGGGGATTTCAAATTTACATGGACTCCGAGTTGTGTGGCTTTGCAAAGATTAGGATATTTTAGGATAAGAAAAGTTTTGTGCATGTCTTTTTATTGCATGTATGGTATGTGTGTGCGTGCTTCTTGTTCACTACCTACCTGTCGTGTCTTAGCAGAGGTCTCGATGTAAGGGATGCCGTAGGAGCGGGCGAGTTCCTGGGCTTGCCTTGTGTCCACCGTGCGTGCTGGGAGGTCACATTTGTTTCCCACAAGCACCATGGGAACGTCGTCTGAGTCCTTTACACGTTTAATCTGTTCTCTGTGAATTGCAAAACAAGAAAATTGCGACAGTTGACATTTCATTTGCAAAACTTTTGGCGGTTTCCTTAACCCACCCCAGCAGTGCATTTAGTCACACTGACATATCGCTTGTCTGGGATCCTCCCTGCTTCATAAACAGCAGCAGCACCACCACTGGAGAGCCAACCACCCAGGGAACTCTAGGACCCTGAGGAGAAGCCAGGGCCCGCCGGTGCTGGGCTGTGCTGCACTGCTGAAGGAGGGAGGTGGAGAGGAAGGGAGGGAGGGGGAGGGATGGACAACAGGCAGGCGGCGAACAGCATTACCTCATCACTACAGCAGCCAGCGGCAAACGCCAGGCAGCCAGGGGGAACTGAGTGAGAGGAGTGGGTCAGATCAATCTATCAGCTCAGCCCTTCTGCATGAGCCACAGTACAGCAGGATGCAACCACTACAGTCAGCCCTGCCCATCTGCAGTCACACTGCTAATGGCGTTAATGACCACAGTTGCTCTCGGTGTTGACGTCACAGCAGACATGTTACACTGTTATACCACTGACGTGTTATATGCTGACGAGGCATATATTTCAAGCCTAGTAAAAGTATTAAAAATGCCAGCATACACCAAAAGCATGACCTTATCTAACCTACTGCAGAGTGTGGTGCATTCATTTGGAAATGCAGTAAAGTAAAACATAAATAAAGAAATGAACAGTGAAAGAAGTTTTGCAAAAAGTATTTTTGCCTGTAAATAATACAACAGATCTTTAAATAACTCAAGAGTTCTAAACATGGCCACCACCTTTTGTAGCATCCAGCCAAAGATCCATGCTTGCTTTTCACAACTTGCACAATGGTTTCACAGTGGCACCAGCAGTTGTGTTGAAGCAGGGCCCCAAAAAAAAGAAACAAAAAAAAAGGCTGGGCTGCAATGGCAGCGAGCCAAAACAATGTGTGTGAAATAAACTCAGAAACCCTGCAAATCTTTAAGAGGAGGCGGCAAAGTTAATATGCAGCTTATTTTGCTTGCCACATGCAAGACTGGCAAGTGTGCATCTTATGTGATGAGAAAGACAAAATGTGGGAAAGAGAGAGAACACTGTCATCTCCAGCTGAACCCCCCCCCTCCCTTCTTCCTTTCTCCTTCCCTGTCCTTGAAAGTGCTACCTCTCCCCGCTCCTCTAATTGAGTCAGGATCGATTTCATTGGCAACGTGCTGTAATCCTCCAGTTGGGGGCTAAGCTTTCTTTAGCCGTGTTAAACGCTACAGCATGACATCACCCAACTACTGCAGAGAGCTGGCACACATACATATACACACCCCTCTCCATCCAGACCCCACGGGAGTCCCTGTAACACACACTGCATTTACAAACACAAACACACACAAACACACACACACACACACACACACACACACAGAACATTAGAAGAGAACTAACAGGACTGAGCTCCACCCTGACTGTTCTGTGATCTGGCCAGTAAGTTCACATCTGCAACAACAGATCACATAATGTTCAATATCAGTGTCATGTTTTGTGATGCCCCTGCATCCTACAAGACTAACCATGCTTTCTTTGCCTCACTTTCTCTCTGTCACTCTCTCACAGACACACACACACACACACACAGACACACACACACACACAGACACACACACACACACACACACACACACACAGACACACAGACACACACACACAGACACACACACACAGACACACACACACCTGTACTGGTGAATGTCCTCAAAAGACTTGGTGTTGTTAATGGCGAAGACACAGAGGAAACCCTCCCCTGTCCTCATGTACTGATCCCTCATGGCGCTGTACTCCTCCTGACCTGCAGTGTCCAGGATGTCCAGCAGGCAGGTCTCGCCGTCAATCACAACCTGTTTCCTGTACGAGTCCTGTAGAAAAAAGGGGAAAAACGCAAACATTTAGAGAGGTGCTGCAGACAAATCTAATGTGTGTGTGTGAGCAACCAGTAACAAAAATCTGACGCAAAAGAGATGGTTCAGGACAGATTGGAGGCAACTGTGGGCCCATCATTGAGGCTGTCACATCTTTGGCCATAGCCACTCAGTGCTAGGCAGTACGTTCATATACTGTGCATTAACTTTTAATATTAATTATTAATTCCATGTCCACTTCCAGGTCAAATGAACATAAAGAGATCAGAGGAGCAGGGTATCGGAGCCAATGTTTAGCCTTCCAACACGCAGCCACAAAAACATGGAGTGCCGTCCCTTTGTTTGTTAGAGCATAGGGGCCAGGAATGCAAACACACAAAAAGGACATTGTCTGGCCAGAGGCAGGCGTGGTGAGAAAGAGAGGGACAGAGTGGAGACAGAGAGGGAGAAAAAGAGAGAAAAGAGAGTAGAAAACATTCCCACTGGCTTCCCTCTCCTCTTTGCAATGTCTGCAATGTCTTTCTGTGTCTTATTTTCATGAAAATATAAGAATTATGGAAGGGAGGAGTAAATATTTCTTCTTTAAAAAGAATTCTTCCAAGCCTGACTATTTGGAGAATTGCCACAGCATTTGATTAATTAAATTAACTTGATTTAGACTGAGCTGTCGTCTCAGCAGGGTCCAGAAAATATTGTTCAGCAGAGACTGTAGGGCTGGACATTTCACATATATATTGGTAAGCATTTAAGCATTTCCCCACCCCAAAACCCAAGATGCCTCCAACAAGAATTACGTTTAGAGCATGCAGAAGAGTCATACCTCTATGGTGGGGTCATATTCATCCACAAAGTGGTTCTGGATGAGCTGGATGGTGAGTGCACTCTTGCCCACGCCTCCAGCTCCCACCACCACCAGCTTATACTCCGTCATCTTTGCCGCTGCTGCTGCTGCTGCTGCTGCTGCTGCTGCTCACCGCACACACCACTGCTGGGGAGAAGAAAGGGAGCAGAGAAAGGTGCAGGTTGGTACTCTGACATGAAACATATGCATTACCAGGTTTTGGACTGAACAACAGACATACAGAGAGCTTTGACTAGCTATTGTCTGATGCTGGACTGGACACAATGCAGTCCACAATCAGTGGTGTAGACAAAGTATACAGTTACTAGCATTACTGCCCAGTGGTGAGAAACATTGGTGGTTTGTGTGTGCGTGTCTGTGTATGTGTGTGTTGGACTGTGTGTAGTGGGGGCTGAGGTTGAGACCCTCAAAGGGGAATGTGAAAAATGTGCTGAAGGTACTCAATGTTCCAACCCTCTCCCGCTCAGTGTGAGCAGCAAGGAGTGTGTATGAGAGGGAGAGCTAGGGAGGCAGCGAGGGAGAAAACAAAGGGGCATGACACCGGCAGGCTGACACTGATCATTCAGGCTTCACTTCACTGCAGCCTACCTTTGAACCCACTGTGACAGACACAAAGCCAAAATGACCAAATAAAAAGCAACATAAAAATAGAGCAATGATTAAAAAAAACCCCACTGAACATTCTTTTTTTTTTTTTTAAGTAAAAGGATTTGCACCAATGTTTCATTTCAGCAATGAGCTAAATCCCTACTGCTTACAAAGCTAGGCTATTGCTATGAACTGTTTCTTGTTGGTTTGCCTTGCTTCTTCCATAGGGATCAATCCATAGCAACAGAATGAGAGGCCTAAAAGAGGAGTTTATGACTTCAGGTGTGCCGGCAGTGGTCCCCTATGGACCTGAACCCACTTAATAGGTCTACTTGATGCAACAGGGCTGCCCTAACTATAAATCAAAGCATGTTATTAAAGAAACATGTCTGTCTCTTGAGAAAACCTAAGTGATATCCGTTTTCAGTAGGCTAAAACGTACACAACACAGGTAAACACGAGGGATGAGTGAGTACAACATTATCCGTATCTGTTCAAACAACTTAATTATCTGTATCCGTACTCAGAATGGGCGGTGCGTAAAACTGTAAGTGGGAAAATGCCAAATGCTATCACAGTGTTAACTATGAAGTCAGCTGGAACCACACATGTAAATCTATGCATTGATACAAGGCGGTACAAAGACACACACACACACACACACACACACACAGATCCCCTGACAGACCCTCACAACACTGCTGTCCAGTGAAATTCCAGGCAAGTTGAGTCAATGGTTAGAGAAAGTAGTCATATGGGTGTTTCCACTACATACAGTGGCAAAGGGTGACTCAGCTTATTTCCAATTAACCACAAAGTTACCAAATGTTTGACCGGAGAAAGACCCGATGCCAGCCCTGCAGTAGACACGGTGGCAGCTGATGAGTCAGAGTAAGAAAGACGTGAAGCTATTGTGGAGATTTTGAAAAATGAAATCAAGTACAAGCTAGGGGTTGGCGTGACCAAACCTATGGCTAACCACAAGGAAAGTCTGCTGGAGGTCCATAGCAACCACAGGAGCCTCCCGTGGTTACAGTTTTTAGTTTGACAACATACACACAACAATGAGTGGTCAGGTGATGTCATCACAGCTATGTCATCTCTGACGTCAGAGCCCAGAGGAAAATCACTGAGTGTTCCCTTACCTCCCAGGATGCAATGGCCTCGAGTGGCAGTTCAGTTTCGCTTTCTGTTCAACAATAGTGACTAAAAACGTAACTCGTGGCGTTTTTATGCACTTATACTTTGAATTTAATTAAGCAGTGCTGTTGCCACTTTAAACAAAACCTCACAGTAATGACATCAGAGTCATATTATGTCCTGTATGATATGTTGTCTACATCTGCACCACCCAAACACCCGAAAGAGCCTGCTTTCTGTTCCTCAAAAGTAGTCTCTTTCATGTCTCACATGAGGCAGTTCAGAGTAAAACAAGGGTGAAACATCTTGGCCTGTTCATCAACCGTGTCTCACTGAAGTGAGCTGAAGAATAAAATCACTCAACTGCCCCTGCTGGAGTGTGTAATAAACCCACCAGGATTTCATTTGCATCACAGGTCACATTTGCTGTTTTACCTTCTCCACAGCACCAATTCTCATCCCTTACAAGCACTGCCCGTTACGCAAACTCCTTGCTCACTACAGAGCAGTACATCAGCACTTTAGCCAGCCTGAGCGGACATACACACCCTCTCTCTGTCTCTCGCTTATGCTTCATCTCCCAAAGGAACACACACACAGACAGACACACAGACACAGACACACACACAGCTGGAGTGAATCTTAAACTCGACTTGCAGAAAGAGAGGAGTAACAGGTGGAGGGCATGCAAAGCATCCAAAAGACAACTAAGCTTATAAAGCTAATTTAGTCATGAGGAGTCACAAGAAACAGACATGCACCTATATCCGTCTCTGGGTGTGGTGTTTTATTAATAGAACCTGCATGCACCTCTGTAAAAATCTGTGTTATTTGTGTCTGAGATGTGTGTGTGACTGTGCTGATGTGGGGGCACACAAGATTAGCCACGACCAAGACTGGCTCACCGATGTTAATGATTGACAGAAAAGCTGACTTGGTAACTGACAACACAACCATTTAGTGGCTCTCATTCAATCACACATACACATGTTCCTGCAACACATCCATGATCCCATAAGCCATTGCTCACCTTAATGGAACAGGTAGCTCTGGAACACCATCACCAATATAAACAATGGCTTCCTTGTAAAAACACCCTCAATGCTAATTGTCAAGCACAACATGAAGGGAATTATCCTGACCCCTCAATCTTGTGGCCAAACATTTAGCTTCCTTTTCCCTCACTGTATATAAATCAACCAGGTACACAGTGCAGCAGGCCCTGGCTGGAGTACAGACACCGTGCCAGAGCCGCAGAGCCAGACTTCGCTCCTCACAGCCTCCTTTAACCAAACAAACAGCAGCTGTGCGAAGAGGAGAGACTTGTGCAGGGCAGACAGACAGACACTGGAACACCTTTAATCACTGGAGGCTACAGGCTCAAGACAGGGCACGGACTCACAACAGGGGTATTCGGAAACTCTAATCTAGTTTAATGTGATGGCAGCATGGATGCAAAAAATAAAAAATAAAAAAAATTACAGACCGGTCATTGGGATTAGAGAAAGTGGACATCCTTAATCCAATTAATTAAAGGCGGAGATGACAAATGCGCCATCATGGATTAGGGCTATAACAAAGGATAGTTTAGGGTTTCTGCAGGTTTCAACAGGTTAAATTTAAGACTTAAGACCTATTTAAGACCATTATGAATGCAATTTAAAATCTATTTTAAATCTATACTGGCAAAAAAGGTACAAATGATATGAAGGAAAACTGGTATTGGTATTCCTTTATACAAGTAACATGAACTTTTAAGTCTTATATAGGCCTACAATTCAGATTATTGGATTTAATAATTTTTTCGAATCAACTTTTCAAGACGCTGTTCATTGCCGATTTTCCTGCTGCATATTTTTTTTTGATTAACTGATTAATTGTTTGGTCTAGAACAAACAGTGACAAATGCCAAACAAAATTTCCCAGAGCCTAAAAAGATATCTTATAATTAGAGGAGATATTAATGAACAATATTAGCACAAGCACAGCCACATATTTTAGAGGCTAAAAAAAAAAACAAGAAATCAGTACAGAAAGGGAGAAGTTGAGGCCATTATAGATGGTGTCGCCATTACATAGTTTTTCTAACCAGACAACACTCAAGAGCCTATTTTTAAACTGTAAAATGTCCCACTCAGTACATGGTTACCTCTTACATAACCTTACCAAAACTGTTTGTTTATGTTGGCCAATACATTGTTACCAGAACTCCAAAATATCCATATTGGTATCAGCTTCAAAACTCCAGTATTGGACTGAAATTCAATGGGCTTTAAAAATGATCAAAGATCAAAATTGATGTTGATTGGCTTAGAGATTAATGGAGTGATAGTTTTAACACTAGCATGGATTACATTACATTAAGTTGAAAGACAGATCTGTACAATGCCATTCCCAGTCCAGTCTGGTAGATAAAGGTGACAGGACAATGACAGGTGCTGACCATTCAGGCAGGATGGCGAAGACTAGTCAGCAATTTTGCCTAAGGGGTATTTGTGTCCCCCCTCCCATATTCCTCTTCTGTTTCCTTCTGTGCTGGTTCACTCTATTATAACACACACCAACACCACAACCCAATTCCTAATCATACCCTTAGCCTACTGACCTTGAATTCCCCCACACATTCAGCTCTGGTATATAATATTAGTAATATTTACCGGTTAATCAGATCTTTCCAACCCTTCAGCATAAAAACCTATCCCAAACTTTACTCATACATCAGTCAGCACCTTCTTCACTACTACCTCCAGGCATTGATAAATGCTCATCATGACATACAAACGAGGGTTGCACCATATGGTTAAAAAAAATCATGATTCATGATTAATGTGAATGATCATATTTGCCATCACAATTTTAATTTTCTTCTTAAAAACTATTAAAATTGTGATAATGTGACATTTGTTTGGGTTTGTAACCAAACAGAATAATATTTGTAGGCCAGGGAATCTCTGCAGCACTGCAGTACTTCATTAAAATGCTCTTTTGACACACATTTTTTATCTAAAATCTTTTTGCTTTTTTGCGATTTGGATATTGCACTTGGCCATAATGCAACTTTGATAATATTGTGAATAATTGAGCAGCCCACACAAACACGGGCATAAAATGAATTTTAATAACTAATGTGGATCAATATGCATCCAAATTTAAATCTTAAATATGTAGTAAAGACAGTAAATGTAGGGCACACGCACACAAATAAAAAACAAAAGATTGACACCTGCACTCTCTTACACACCCACCACTCTCCACATTCTGACACAGTTTGTTGATGCATTTCTTCTACATAACCACATCTCAAGTGTACACCTGCCAAACGATTAATATTTACAGCCTAATACGCAAATTCAACACACCCGCGCCTGCTACTGGGAGACTGGAGGAAGGAAAACAGACAGCCATGCCATCCCCTCTCTCAAACTAGGCCATGACATTGGCTGATTAATAATCCACACATACATATGGAGATGAATAGCAATATTAATCATTGATAGAGATGCTGTCTCTTTCTCAGAGCCACTTGTTGTCAGTAGGGGCTCATACAGAGCTGCTCTTTGGGCAGATAGAGAAGAGGGATGAGGACACAGCCGCTGGAGATCACAATCATCAGTGCATTATCAATATTTTTACATATTTCATCCACACATTTTTTTGTTCTGTACAAACATGCATGGTTATCCTGCCCCTATAGCAGTGTCATGCCTTCCTATGCGGTCCTGTTTTTCATATTGTACAGTAAATGCTGCTGGTGTATGGTTGCATTTGGTCCTCATTTTGCACCAGACGTGAAGAATTGGAAACATATGCGCACGTACACCTAAGTACACCTGTAAAAACCTGTTTCTTTCATAAAATGTACATATCAGACAGCAGAGGGATCGAGGGATTGAGGGACTGAGGGATCGGCTCATCAAAGGTGAATAGTGTAGCTTAGGAGGTAGCTTCCTGCTACCTCCATTCGCATACATAAATCTAAGACAGGCTATAGCTGCAGTGTCATCTACAAGTTGGTGACCTATTCCGATCAAATGTGTCCAAAATCTTTACATAAGATGCCCCCTTTTTGAACAGGGACCACTATACAGTATGTCTGTGTTTAGAGTTATTTATAGCTCGCCACCTCCAGCCTGGGAAATTAACAGTTCGTTTTGAAACCCTAGAGCCCCGCCTGGACCAGGAGGATAATCTTACATGACAGCTTACGGAGGGTGCGAGTACAGAGCAGCGAGAGGGGTGATGGGAGGAGAGTGGCTGAGGACGAGGGAGGGCTACTCTTACTATATGCCAAGGGCACAGAAAACCACAGGAGGGAGGGGTCAGCCTGGAAACTGAAAATGTATCAGAAGTCAATAATGAAAATGCTCAACATCCTCCAGCTTTTTGGCTGTATGGCTCTGATAACTACAGTCAATATACATTTCTTCCCTTTTTCTAGGACTCCTCTTTACCTGTCAAACAATTCCATCACTTTAAAAACACATGATGCAAGAAAGAGGGCAAGCCATGAATGACCATCTTCCTAAACATGCATTCTGCTCTCCATTAACGTGCTTAATTGGTTAAAGAATCCATACTGGCAGAGCCACAATCCCACTGCAGAGATAATAGATTTTTAATGGAGATGATGATGGTAAGGAGACCCTCTCTAGGGAGGTATCACGGTCGAATACTGAGACTCCAAGACCCATCCTAGAGCCTCTATAGCCCACCGCACCCTCCCACTGCTCTCCAATGACATCATCCTCCTAAACAGCATCCAAACATAAGCGTTGACCGGCAGCTGAGGAATCACTATTCTGCTCTCTCAGGCCAATAAAACATAAGTAGGTGAAGTGAGGACTTTAAGCAATTCTTATGAAGTCTATGAATTCACAGATAAATCTAGCTGTGCCCTTTAAAAACAGAACTATTTATTCCCTCCTCTAGGGTTAGGAAGCCAGAGAATGTACCAAAAAACTTGAATGAAACCATAATTTGCTCAATCCTTTTAGTAAACAATTCCCCCTCCAAAAATGCTCTCCCTTACAAACATTTATATAAAAGAGTTTCTGCGTGTAAGTGTCCATGCTTAAACAAGCCACTCTTAAAGGCAATGGAGTACAAGTGACCTTTTCCCCACTGGGTCATCCTTTCAGCTTGTCGGGTAGGGTGAGACGGTAGAGGCAGCAGCAGATGAAAAGGCCAGCTGACCTCCACACAAAGGCCTGCCAGTTAGAGGAGCCATGAGGCTTATCATCAGACACCAAACACCCCAAAACTCATCAGTGGTCTTTTTTTTCTTTTTTTGTAATCAGAGGAATGAGTGAGTCTCGTCCAGTTGCTTTAGTTTGTGAGTGCATGTGAAAGCATGGTGCCAGTCAACCTGTAGAAGATCCCACCCAATGTTTAGTCAGTTAAACAAAAAAAAAACATTCAAACCATCTTCCTTTAGAATTAGTATGATAATAAAAGAACATTCCCTGAACCATCTTTGAGCTTTACGCCAACACATTTAACAAACCCTGCACATCAAAGCAGTTTGAAAAGTTGTCATCTGTAAAATCTAGAAGTATCCAGAAGAGTCACACTTATTTTGGCATGCAGCTGGGCACCACCCAGGCTACAGCTGTTCAGAGAAAGGGACAAGAGATTAACATCACACCTCTGTCACTGGCTGGACTATCTCCAGCTGTTTTCCAGCTGCCTGAATTCTTGCACTACAGAAGCTGATGTCATATTCACACGACAAACACTGGACCTCCTTAACAGAGCCCACGTAGTCCACATTGTACTCCAGCTGTACAGCAGTTGTGGGAGATAAGATGAAATAAACACAAAAGTGAAACACACTGATGCCAACTCAAACGCCCGATGCTACTTTTGCATGGTGAATTACAATGAATTCTGACGAGGATGTCATCTTGGGATGGGTACATTTATTTCTCCTCTTGTCTAAACAGGCGAGCATTTGAGTTAAAACACCAGTGCTGCCTTTTTGTCATCTTTTTTTCCCCCCCCTCCCTTTAAAAACTTCATAAAAACAGTTTCAACAGACAGCTTCCAGAGTAGAAATTACTCCAAGTCAGCTTTCTAAATGCCTTGTAATGGAATCTAACTTCCGCAGTGATACATTCAGTTTTTACTCAGTGTGACGGGGCGTCACCCTACTTGTCTGTGTGGCCACTATCGGCGGCAGCAGCAAGCAAACCTCATACTCAACACTGTCTTAACATTACACATAAATACAGGCCATAGAAAGTACCTTCCCCACTACAGCTATGTTCATTTTCATCGGTTTCTTTTTCAAAATGAGACGAGAGAGAGAGAGAGAGAGAGAGAGAGAGGGGAGGGGGGGATCCATGGCGGTCTAATGTTATTCCTCCATAACCAAGTTACAACACCCGAACTCAAAGGGAGACTGTTTATCAAAACATATAATTGTTTTTTTTTTTTTTTTAAAAAGAAGAAGCAAAATCCATCACATATGGCCTGTGTAATTCTTCATACGTGTAGTCAGGACTACAAAGCAAGCATGAGTTGTTGAGCTCGACAGATAAAGCTCGCCGGGCGTGAATTAAAACGTTATGATAGCTAGCTAACATGTTTTCACTGTGGACCGCAATCTCGAGCGGTGGCCAAAACATGGAAAGCATTTCAAAAGCGGTATCATTAGACACACACACACACACACACACACACAAAAACAGTCAGTGCCGACGTATTTCGGACACAGGAATGTGCACCGCATACTTACAACAAGCAGGGGTCTAATTAGCGACAAGAGCGACGTTTTAACCGGAGAAGAAGAGAGGAAAAAAAAAAAAAAAAAAAAAAAATCTTTCAACTCTCTTACCTCTCAGCTGTAATCAGGAGGAAACAAAATGTTCTTGGTCTGCTTCCCGCCGTCTCCAGATATCTGCACCTTGTGCTGTCCGAGGAGAAGTGTTTTAATTTTCAGTAGCTAAAATGCACCAGGGCATTCATTGGTTCTAGGGTAAAATGAGCCCGCGTTGAACAATGTGCTTCCACAAGAGAGTAGAGGGGATGAGAAGTATAGAGCCCACGCCCAGCTCTATCAAACATAGAACCGCCCCGGTCACCAAGCATGTTACTGCTGCATTCACTTGCCGTCGGAAATATGGCGACTTCGCAGTGTAAAGGCCAGCTGAAGCTCCCACCCGCCGCCCCTCAAACGTTATTTACTACTCAATCCAAGTGAGTCACGGAAATGTGACAGACGAGGAATCCCTTGCAAACGTTTTTTAATGTAGTAATTAAAGCGTTTTATTGTTAGGCAACCAGGATTTACAAAATACTAAGGTTGTGTGTCTAAATTCTAACTGACCACCAACAAAATTTTCTAAAATCACAAAGTCATATTTTATGTATTTGTTTAACTTTAAATTTAACTTAAAACTATAGCGTAATTGTTGTTTTAAAATGGCCTCTTACTATAATAATGCATCCCTTTTAATCAATTTATTAAATCTATTTATCCCTAAAACAGTACATTTTTAATTAAAATAAATCAGAATCAGCATAAAAAGCCCAACATTTGTTGTATGTGGGAAATCTTGTAAACTCCTCATATTATATTACCAAGACCATGACCTTAGTCTCCTCCATGATAGCCAGGGCTTGAAGAGCAGTTATATAGTTATTATTACTATATTATTATGCATTATAGATGACTAACCAGATTCTTTTTGTTCTTTATTTGAACTTTAAGGACCAGTGTGTATGATTTAGTTGCATCTAGAGGTGAAGATGCAGATCACGTCTGTATTTGACAACAAGGGAATGAGAAGGAGAAACTACAGTGGCCGAGAAACTTGAAATTCATTATCTATAACCGGGGTTTGGTTTGTCCTACTCTGGGCTTCTGTAGAAACATGGCCGTTCAACATGGCAGCCTCTGCGGAAGAGGACCCGCTCCCTCCCTAGATAAAAATGGCTCATTCTAAGGTGACAAAAACCTCTTATTTTCAGATGATTATACACTAATGAAAACATACCTAATGATATTATATTTCATTTCTGCCAATAGATTGTCCTAAATGTTAACCACTGGACCTTTAAGAAACCAGATATAGTCTTTTTTTTTCTCATTAAAAGAAAACATTATTTATGCCTACATGGCATAATTGTCACTGTTATTCAAAAGTAGCTCTGGGTAACATGGTATGCAATTTACATTAACAACCAAGTCAAGTCAGGTCAAGAAAAAATATTGTTTAGTGTTATTGTTTGCTATTTTTTGTGTTGGAAAGCCCACATTTGCAAAGGCAGAGCTTTCAGTGAGCGTTTGAAGGCAGCACCGTCAAACCAGCGTTGGTGGGTTACGGCTATGGTAACAGAAACAGATGTTTAGGCATTGATATCAGTGGCAATAAGCCGTAAACCCCAAGAAGTGTACTAATGAGCTGTTACCACTGACAGTATACATAGTGCTCTATCCCAGGGAGCCACTGCTCTCCCTCTGTGCCGTATCCAGGAAGTCGTCTTGCTTGGTTGTCAAGCAAACGTTTGCTTGGACGCGAAGTGCTCTCAGTCTGTAAAGTACGCTTGGTGTTTTTTTTACGGGTTAATATAACGTTATATAGTGTAAGAAAAACTAACAATACTGCATTCAAGTATAAAGAACATGTCGTTGGAGTTAGTGGGATATGAATGACTGTGCCTCACGCATTAGGGCAACGTTTAACCGTTAACTAATTACTTGTTAGTTAACGTTTGCATGTTCTCTTTGTTAAGACGCTTTCATATTGGTAATTTCAGGTAGCCGTGAAAGATGAGTTGCTGTCATGGGTCCGTGCTCCAGGAGGTCCGGCCTGGTACGGCACGGGTCGTAGTGACCGAGTTGAGTGGATCAGACATCAACCCAACTCCTGCCAAGAAACACTGTGATGACTTCGACACGGTAATGGCCTTTTACCTCACTCCAAAGAAGCTGGTAAGTGTGCATGGGTCCCTAAGGATACAGTCAGTGTTCATCCCACTGATGCACCTTGTTCTCCCTGGTATTTTTCTGATTTGTGCCTTAAGTAAACCTCTATTATCTGAGACTGCTGTTCGTTTTATTTACAGCAGTGGTTGAGACACTGGGGATGACTAAGGGATGTCAACGTGGAGATCATATTTAACATCTATTGCAGTGGTTCCCAACCATTTCCCTTAAGTTCCTTAGTAAACACAATAAACAACAATAAATGACAATACAATAAACCCAAATAGTGTACTCAGTAACTGCAAGAAGTTTGTGTAACAGCAGATTATTTCCTGTTTTGGGAACAATTTTCTGTCTATATTATGTATTTTTTACGTATGTTTTCTTGTCCCTGATGCTTGCCATTGTTCTATTAGACAATTTACATAACAATATACCTTACATTTAGTTTTCATAACAGAAGCAAACCAAATGTTGAGATACAGGCCTACTGTGTATATTTTGGACGTTTTCTTACACCCCTTAAAATTAAGAAGGCCTTGTGACCCCCTGTGAAGCTTTGACCAACCTTAGAGGAGGTCCCGGCCCCCAGGTTGGGAACCACTGATGTATTGTATGCACCCTGTCTATATTATTATGTGTGTAGGTGGGCAGGCAGTATTATTTCACATCACAAGGTTCATGTCTAAGGTATAATGAATGATGAAACTAGGTTATGTAAAGACCAGTTCAGTATGCCAGAGCAGGTCAGCTGGTGTCCTGTTAATTTCTGTTTCTCACAGGAATTGCTGTGTGGAACTCAGGACCTCACTAACGTGACCTCGCTGGAGATCTGCGTAAACACTCAAGAAAACACACTGGGTAACTTTGGTAAGCTATACAGTACGTCAAGGCATTTAGACATTTACACATGTAATTCATAGCTTACTATTTGAAACCATATTGCAAGGGCACACAGTTTATATGTGTACTGATTAGAGCTCTCTGTTCTTTGCTGGTATTGGTTTATATCTAGTGTTCCTTATGCGAACATGGCCACATATTCAGTAACACCTTTTACATTTAAATTTATATTTAAGCAACTAGCCCTAACCCTTTTTTATACTGTGTGCAGTGATGATTCATAACAGATAATGCTTCTAATGACCGCATAGACAATCACAAAGTAGATAAGAGACATTTAAAGACATTGTTATGACGCACGCAACAGATTGCCTGTCAGGTGTGCCAACCTCAGTGCAAGATGACTGAGCCGATGATGGTGGAAGAACATCTTCATTATGCTCACCTTTGTCCTCAGAAAAACCTAGATTTCCCAACAAGTGTAGGCATGACAGAGCATGTGTGAGTCATGCCCACCCTGCCACTCTAGGTACTCTTCCTTTGAGGCAATTTATGTGAAACACCCAATGAGGTACATTTGGAACGGAACTAGGCGGCTAGTTTAAAACACAATAAATAATCACCTCACTGTTATATGAAAGTAAGAGATATGATTGTTTATCTGATCATCTTGTAGGTGCCTACTTGCCCAATTTGGTGGAGCTCAGAATGAGCAACAGTACAATTGTGTCAATAAGGTAAGCATAAAGTTATATAACACAAATACCATCCTCTTGTTGTCTTCCTGGTTTGCAACATGTTCCTAGGAGAACATACACACTCACTCTGGAATACTACAGATTTCTCAAGAAGCTGAATAACCCGAAATTAATTATGATCTTAAACAAAACTGAATGTTTGCTACTGGTGTAAACTGCTTGTAACTGTATGACCAGTTTCATATTTAGCTTATGTTTAGAAACAAAGCCAGGAGGTCCAGATCTTTCCATAAAGAGAGTTGTAATTTGACCTAGAGCAGTGTTGTTGGGGATTGCTTTTCACACTAGTCACATGTATGCTAGAAGACACTCTTTAGTGTGAGACCCTTGAAGCCGTAAAAAGACAGTGCTTTGAAGCAGAATAGCAGTTCAGAAGTCACATGCACGTGTACTGTCATGGGAAAAAAATATAGCATGGTTGCAGTGCAGGTGTAAGGCTCTGCTCTGCTTCTGCCAAGGTTTTCCAAGAGGGACTTGTAATACAGTGTTTCTGTATGGAAGATGCATGTTGCTGCTTGTAAACCAGACACCGACAGATGTGGCGTTCAGTACAGTCTTAGAGATAGATACACATGGAGAACAGGTTCACCCACCTGTCTCACAATAGGACACAATGGGGTTTGTGGAATATCAGCTTTCAGATTTGTCCACCTGAATAGTAGCAGAAAAAAAGACAGGAAATATGTGCAGTTTCTCCTGGATTGTCCTACCAGTTTGATTGCAGTCACAGCTGTGTCATCAAAATTGGATAGACGAAAACCAATAAACCTCCAGGATGAGACAGAGACACACACACACACACACACACACACACACACACACACACACACACACACACACTATAAATTGTCCTTGTAACAGGACAGGTGGAGAATTGTTACCCAAGAGACTGCTGAGGGATAAGAGAGTACAAACAGAAAGATAGGGAGCTGTCTGCTCCACCCAGAGAGTAGCAGAGCAGAGCCAGCCGGACGTGCACTGCCTCTGATAGCATTTCCTGCTCTGGGCTGTGGGAGCTGTTCTGGAGAGGGTGTTACGGGGTTGTAGATACACTGACTGAGACTCTGCTGGAAGGGTCAGAGCAGGGGTGTGCTGTAGAGGACTGGCCTGCATATGGGGGAAGAGAAAAGAGCTTACTTCAGTGGCCAAGGGACTAGATAGCCTTTCCCATGATTCACAGTGTTGTGTAACTCCCCTTCAGTGCCTCTAAATCATGTTTTTGTGCGATTTTGTCTTCTTAGAGACCTGGGAACAACCCTCTCCCACCTGCAGGTGCTGTGGATGTCCCGCTGCTCCCTACAAGACCTAGAAGGCATTTCTAATTTCTCGTCCCTCAAGGTACAGTTTATGGGTTATAGTTTGCTCAGTGGAGAGACAAAGTTCAACAGTGCAACTGTTTTGGGGATAAAAAGGGCTATGCTTTCTTAAAGCCATAGACACAGTATGCACATTTGCACCACGTATGCATCACAGACAGTCATGCCTTTTACTTCAGCGCCCGCGTGAGATGCACGACTGCGCTAATGTTTTCCACGAGCCACGAGCAGTTCCCAGAAAAAAATAGACAATTAACATTATTAAGGCAATCTTGTACACATTTCAAACGTTTACACCTTTCACTACAGTTTGTACATCTATATGTATGTCTTTATATTATATTGTAATATTATATTGTCTAATTTGTCCAATCACATGTTTTTTGTCCCCTGCTACCAATCTCTACTACGTTGTATGTCCACCCTCTCTGTTTCAGGAATTGTACATGGCCTATAACTTTGTGTCCGACCTGAGTCAGGTTGTTATGCTGGAGAACCTGCAACTGTTAGATATGGAAGATAACGATGTGGATGACCTAGTCCAGGTTCAGTATCTGGGGTTGTGTGGCAAACTCCAGAGACTCACCCTGGCGGGAAACCCTGTGTGTGTCCGCCCAAACCCCACTGCCACTCAGGTAGGGTAATGTTCTGCTAACGTTGTTTATCCCATAAAACGAAATAATATACATTTGTCGCTACGTGCAAAAGAAGATGCCAATTGAACAAAGTAACATAGAACCAAATGCTGGCTTTTTCTTCATCAGACCAACCTGCCTGTCCTTGTCAGGCTCCTTGTTTGTCCTTTGTGATTCAGCAGACACAGATATTCAACAAATAAGCTTTGTTCCAAAGGGAGTGTAGTGGAATTGGAGACATCAGGGAGACCAATATTAGCTACAAAAGTTATGTATCCGCCTGTACTGTACTTAAAGGACCAGTGTGTAGGATTTAGTGGCGTCTAGTTGTGCATCATCCTTCCCTTCCAAATGCAAAAGAGAAACTATGGTGGCCAGAAAACGCCCTAGAACCAGTGTTTGTGGTTTGTTTGTTCTAGGCTAATGTAGAAACATGGTATTTCAACATGGCGGCCTTCATGGAAGGTGACCTGTAGCATCTGTAAATATAAAAGCCCATTCTAAGGAAAGAAAAAAAACTAATCTTATTTTCAAGTGATACACTAATGAAAACATAGTTATGGATATCATATTCCATTTCTGCCAGATCCTCCTAAATGTTACACACTGGACAAGATATCCAGAAATCTGACTAGAGACATAAAAAAAATGAGAACGGGTAGAGCTGAATAAAAGCTTGAGCAAGAAGTTCCTGTCCAAAACGAAAGTGTTGCGTATATTCAGTTGTAAAAGCCAAATTGCAAATGCAACTTGTGGTTATGATGTAGGTATCATTCAGTTAGTTTACTCTCCTGTGCTAGCAGGCTTTCATCCAATTGTCCGATAATGACCGAAATGTAATTAGCATATGCTGAGACATGAAAGTATCTGTGTGATCTCACCGCTCTGTATCTGGGTCTTCAACACACCAGATAGGACACAAGGAGAGCAGGAGGCATCAAAATAATCAAACATAACAGCCACATAACTGGCACACTCTTCTGTGGAGACATGACGACACAGACATAATGTTTTATTATTACATTACAGTGCTATTTGATCTCTTTGAAAACTGGCCAACATTTTTATTTTTGATGTAAACGGCTGGTGCACATGGCAGCTTACCATGCGCATATTCACTGATATTGAGTTTAGCTGGATGTACAGCGTAGAAGCTGCATTTCCACCTTCTGCTGATTCGAGACACGGTGTGCTGTGAGTTTTTTGGGCCACTGTGAATGTGTTTATTTACACCCACCAGCAGAGCATTAATTAGGAAACTAGGGCAATGAGGGGAGATGCTGAGCTGAATATGCATTAGGCCTGTGCTTTGTAGTGACTGAGGGGTTCTTGGGTTTGCTGCCTTGCCAAACTATCACTCTTCTTGCTCTCTCTTCTCATCACACACACACATCCGCTCACTTCCTCTCACCCAGCCCTCATTCTCCTCCTCTTTTCTCTTTCATTTCCTCCCTGCCAGCCTTTCACTCTCTTTTTCATTCATTGCATCTGTGTGGTTTGGTGAAGGGCAGGAGTGCTGAGCTCTAATTTGATCGCTCAGTAGCTCAGTAATTCACCAGGACTCTGTAGCTGTAATGAGAAATAATTTGGATTAGCAGGGTAACAATGCCATTTTTTAGAGTAGGGCTGCACAATTAATTGAAATATTATCGACATAGCAATATGGTATCGAAAGTAATATCGAAAGTGCTATGTCCAAATCACAGAAGCTGCATTTTTTTTTAAATAGAATGTGTAGGTAACGTGGGACAAAACAGCATTATAATGAATGAAGTACTGTAGTGCTGCAGAGATGCTCTTGCCTTACAATTGAGTGTTACAGAACAAACGTCTGTTTTATATTTAGTTTGACAGTTCACAGGTACCTGAATCTGGCACAAGTTCAGTACAGTTCTGCATTTGAATGAATTTATTTATTTGAATTAATTAATTTATTGAAAGGACACGCCCTTGAGATGCAGCCTCTTATTTCTGAGGGGGTCCTACACATTCAATACATTATGAAACAACAGCATTAGCTCTAGATTTACATTTCCACAAGTTTGTGGCCACCATAGTTTTTCCCACACACTTGCAATGCAAACGGTATTCAGTTGTTTGCAGTCTGAACCTTCACCGCTAGATGCCACTAAATCCTACACACTGGTCCTTAAAGTTACTCTTTCTAACTAATATCATACCCCATCCACTCTTTCCTATTCTTCCTCCCTTCTATTCAGACGGCAGACTATAGTTATCGGGCTGAAGTGAGGGAGTTGGTCCCTCAGCTGCGTTACCTAGACGATTTAAGGGTGGAGGAGGACGAGCATAGCTGCAGCAGCACCATGGGAGAACACCGGGCCTTTCTCCAAAACACCATCAGAGACTTCAACTCCTCCCAGGCAGCTACTGAAGACGCTGTGTGTATGTGTATGTTGTTTTGAGTCATTTAATGCTGACCAGTTAATTACAGATGCGTATTTAACAGGCCACTCACTCACATTTGTCAGGCATCAGACCCCGCACTGGCTCCAGACCCATGTCAGCGACCAGGCCAGGAATTTGCTCCCCTCCTGGATCCAGACCTGCTTCTGCAGACTCAGATCTAGCAACAGTTGAAGCAGAAACCAGCATCCTGACACAGGGTTAGGCACTCCAGTGGCTGTTTTTTCACACTGATGTTTCTACTGTGAGCTCTCCTACGTCTACCAACATTGTCTTAACTTCAAAATTAGGCAAAACTACTGACCCATGAGTACCATTTCCACCTCTACATTGTATGTAGTTTTAGCACCAGTAGCATCACCCAGTCAACAGCAATTGTTACTCCACAGTGCCACCAAGAGGACTTGTTTGTGTCCAGAAAATAGTTTGATTTACTGAAATACTCAATTTACTGTTGATTCTTGAAGGAGCCGGCAAGATCCTGTTCTGTGGAAACCCAGTCCAGTCTATTCGAGCAATGCGAGAAAAGTTGAGGGTAAGTAGTGTGTGTTGGAAGAAGAAAGCACAGAATTCCTTCAGTTCAGTGAAGAAAACATCATCTTCTTGGAAAAAATAGAACTGATAATCAGATATCAAAATCCACCCCAATCTATAATTTCTCGCATGCTGTAGTCCATTTAGTGTCGACTGAGAGGAACAATAAGCTTTATGGGCTTAGTGTCTCTGTCCCTCTTACCTTCCCCTCCTGTTCTGTCTGTTCCTCTTATGTTTGCTGTCCACATCTGTCTGACCACTACTCTACCATCTATTCATAATTAATGTTCTCAGCTCTTAGGCCTCTATTCTGTTATGTTTCCTAGCTCCTACCCCTCACGCTCATTCTCCCTCTCTTCCATCTCATAGACAGCACCCACCAGATCTACTTTCATCCCCAATGACCTGCTCATCCATGTACCAGAACACACGTACGACCTTGAGGAACCTGATGTTAGGGAACGCGGTGATGTGTTTGCTGAGCTTAGAGCATGGAGGGAGCAGCACAGCAGGTACCAACTACTTGCACACCTCACTCCAGTTTTCTTAAGCTGGAAACACACACACTAAACGCTATATTGGCTTGTGATGACCGACCATGTACACTGACAAATCCACTTTTCAATGAATGAGGACTCAGATAGTTGGAGTTAAAAGTCTTCCAGTGTGTTCCTCACTTCAGCTGTCAACCTGGCTTCCTCTACCAAAACTCAAGCAGATGAAACTAAGTATCTTTCTGCATTGTTTTTCAGGCGTCTCCAGGCCATAGAGGCAGAAAGATTACCGCAGGTCCTTGCTATTCGGGATAGTGATAGTGATGATGATGATGAAGAAGAAACCTCTGGGAGTATAAAGAGCGACAGTAGTGATGAAGAGCGTGGAGAGGAGAAGCATTGTGGCAGCCTAGATACTGCCTCATCAAGTTCCTCTTTCCAGTCTCTCTCCATAGGTGAATACTCATTAATTGAACATGCTTGCTTTTTCTTTTATGATGACTAAGATGATCATCTACCCCCAATAACATCTGAGTTGAAAATCAAACGATATGCCAGTAGATTACGAACAGTAATGGCAGCTACAAAACTGTAGTATTTTTTCGTTTTCAGATCTGCATCACAGAGAAGCCTTATCCCCCAACATTGCTCGACTGTCCCTGTCCCCCGACACCTCGCTGTCCCCTTCTCCCCCTCTCAGTGCCACAGCAGCTACTGGTAATCGCAAGCCACTGGGGATTCGTGCACGTAGGCTTCTACTCAACCGGACAAATTTAGAACATTTACCTGATTCCAGCAAAGTAGGGTGCTCTCCTGGGACAAGTACAACCGCAGGAGAAACAGACCTGACACTCAAGAGGGTTCAGCAGTTGACCAGGTACAACAAAAAATACTCAATTTAACTTAAATTGAATGTTTGAAAACTTAAATGTTTGAATGAATGTTTACAAATTACCATGTGTATTTTAGGATTCAGTTATTCATTTAATTGTGACTAGCTGTTAACTAGCACTATGCAACAGTTTGAATTAACCTTATACGGCGTAATTGTTCGTATAGGGTGGTACTAAAGAAGTGTTCTCTCTCTTTCAGTGCAGAGATGGACATATCCAGTGTAGAATCTGGCAACAAGCATCTTCTAACTCCTCAGATGTCCAAACTCCTGCACAGGCCAGCAATTACTCGTCCTCACACAGCCAGAGCAGTTCTGCAGAAACATCACCCACACCACATTCCATACCCTTAAAAGAGTGTAGAGTGTAGGACATTGATGGAGTTCATACCCCTTATTTGCTTCACTCACACCATACTTTGAGGTGTGTTTGGATTTGTTTAAATGAAGATCCAGAAGATATTGAAATCATTCCCATGCCAAAATCCACTAAACTCATATCTGATAGCGCTTTAACACGACTAACAGTGTAATTAGAGGACATGATATACAGAGACGACACCTCTAATTCTAGTTAGTTGCTGGTTTTCTGATGGCTTTATTAGCTGGATGGAAATGAAAGGGGATGGGACTAATACCTCTCATTTAAATTTCTCAGGTTGAAATATTGATTTATTGTAACTCAAATGCTGCCTGTGTTTTACCCAATTTATAAATATCTTTGGTTTTTAAGATTCTCTTTTATTAAAACTGAACTGTATGACTAATAAAATGCAATGGTTCATTTTAGCCAAGGTTTCCTGCACTGTCAGATATTCATGATGTAATAGTCAAATTTTGCCACATGAGGGCGCTATCTGTAAACCTTAAAAAAAATACACTCCATTGCTTCGATCACCTTGAGCAAACACCCCTTCAAATCCACCACCTTGAAACATGATTTATTCCTTTAGTTTGTCCACATCTTATTTACACCAAAGAGAGTGATTTACAACATACATATGCAAGTGTTAAGCATGTACTGCTAATACAGCAGAAAATGTTTCATGATGTATTGACTGATACACAACACGAGTAATAGACTGGAACAGTTGATGTACGTTTAGTGTTTATATGTTCTAACTGTGACATATCCCATTGTTTTCAAAGAGCTATGGGGAATTTCCCATCCATTGCACTGTAAAAAACAATCTCAGGCTGATCTTGTCCTCAGGACCAGAGAGGCAGCCACATCTTAACACCTTTTTGAAGCTGTCACACCAATGTTAACATGGAATTCCATTATTGGGGAACCGCTACAACCAGCACGCAGATGTTTCCAAACTTTGTAGGACTTCCTGACATGAGCACACACACCATGACACCCACATTAGGAAGCCCTTCCCATATTTCTGTCATTCGTTCTGCAGTTTTGCCAATAGAAACAGGATGTAAATAAATGAGTCAAAGAAACCAAGTACAGGCATTAAACCTTGAAAGCGCTGCAAATACTCCTCACCACAGTGTTTGATTAAGAGATGTACACATGTCAGACACAAGAATGGGTCATGTATGTACACATTTATGGGTTTATTATCACTATGTGACAGCTCTTATATAACATGTAACTAGCAACTCTTTCCATCACGTAACTGTATCACCGTCAGGTGTTTTCAGCCACACGCCCATCTCACTGGTGCTCTTACTACTCAAGTTACAGATGGAAGAGAACAGAATAAAAGGAGAGGCTTTTTATGGTAGGAAAGTGGGATAGTGTCCACCTACTCTCTCTGAATAGTCTTGTAATTTCTCCGAAAGGGATCATTCTCACAGCTGGTCAGGTCTGTGAACCTAGTCTGGCCTGTGAGAGGCGTTCTTCCACTCCACACTATTACCAGATGATGTGACAAACCAGAAGGGCCTGGTTTTATCTATGGCTCTGGGATGGTACTTTGAGAAAAGATGTCTGATATGTAGTAAAACAACCGTACAGTTTCAGTACAGTAATGATTTTTCAGTCATGATTTATTTTCTTTATAGCATTTTGAGTGTCAAGGGCTTCTTCTTAAAAGCATGCCTGTAGCTCTCTTTTATCTAATAAAACAGCACTGTGTTTAGAAAACCCAGGGTGCATGGAGATGGTCTTTTTAACCAAAATCAAATTAAAAAGACAATTATAGCACTGTAGTGCCACTGCTTCACAATTTTGCTTTTTGAAACCTTTTCCCCAGAGATGATTATACAAAACAGAAGGAGGATAATGTTATTTAGGCAAATATAATGGATAATAGTATACAACAGCAAAATAAGTCCCACTCAGTCACCAATACACACACATACAAAGGTAAACAAACAAAACCATACATTTCTGCTGCAATGAAGTGGAGAAAACTGTCAGCACACGCTGTGAACAACATGAAAACAAATAACAGACGAAAACAGACGAGGTTGATGTGATTCAGTTAAATCCATGATCATGTCAGGTAGGTCATAGTTACATTCCCCAAAAGACTAAATCAACGCTATCAGACAGCAGGTTCATACAATAATCTATCCACATGCAGTGCTGTACCTTCATGTCACTGCAGATAACGAGATGGGTGTGAATAAATTACAGGGAATACATTGCAAAAAAAAAAAACACATACCAACATAATTTTGTGACTGGAAGGGACTGGGCTGTAAGTGGAAATACCTACAGTGTGAGTTCAGACAGGCCCACGAGTAGCTGTTTGTACAGTGCATGTGAGACCACAGGATCTTGCTGGAAGGAACATTCCATTCACTGAAAGATATTTAGGCTGCATAACTCATTTTCTGTTGACACCTTTACAACCACATGCAGCCACGCAATTCATAATGATATACAAAAGGCATAAAGTTAATTGCAAATAATTCTTGTAGCAATCTGAATTGAATCTAATCTTCTTTGTACCTCAGGAGGTGATAAATCTGTATACCAAAACACAACAGTTGTATACAGGTAAAGTCAATGTTATATCAAGTTCCAAGTACAAATCAGAGAATAACTTTTGTAAACCACCATAAAATTGAATAAAGTTTTGTTTTTGGTGATTTTCTAGAACAATCAGAGAATATGGAGATAAAAAAGGCAACTTCATACTGAGGTTATTTCAGCAATAGCCATAAGGCAGTCCTCTGACTCATTGTTTTGCAATGCTGAATTGATAACCGGAGCTAATACTGCATTTTCCGCTCATTCTGCTTCAAGGTCATGCGTTCAGTAACTGAGTGCAGCAAGAGGCACTGGGAATTACCTGTTGTTCAAGAGGAAGAGCTGTGGAAATGCTGTGGGACGAGGGTAGAAACCTGTTTTCTGGCCTACTAATATTGCATATATCAATTTTATATTACAGTATCTTGGGATGCTTTTAGGAAAAAAGGATGAGGGCTTGATGATGTGTTTAATAATCTATTCCAACAGAAAAACAAAGCCACAAACAGCTGTTGTAGTTTTCTGCTTTGTGATTCCTTTTGAGTAGTTTTCTCTTTAAAACAATCTGGTTTAAGAGCGAATATCTGGTTTTAGTGGTTGTAATTTGTGGGATCAATACACAAAAATTTAGTCTTGCGTATGCTAGCAAAGCCACATATCATACCATGAATATGATTCAGTTTCAGATAAAAATGAAACATTTGAGGCAGCATTCATTCAGCATCAAAAGGTCTATTGAAGGCTTTTTATGGCATACAGTACAAATCCAAGGAAGCCCTTAGCCAATCTTTTTGAGGTCACTGATAATTAACACATGGATGGTTACCCGTCCTTTTGTTTAGGAAAAAGCATACACTTGTTAAAAACAATTTAAAGGAAAGGTTTAGTACAGAAGCAATTAAACCCTTCCGCTTCCAACACTTTCTCCTTATCATGGTTGAAACACAGGCTGTAACATGTTTAGTTTCTAGGGAACATTCTCTGCATCAGTGTTTACTTATTGTCAGACTCTACCTCCTCATGGCCCCTATGAATGATGTCAACCACTCTCAGATAATATCAGATTTAGACTGGAAACTTGCAAGGCGGGTGCGTTTCAAAGAGTAATCTCTTGTAATCAGTTAAACATCCAATGGATAATCCAACAATGTAGCTAATGAACCTATCTGCTGCCATCTCAGTTACCTGTAATATAAAAGCTTTACAGTTCTCATAATTTGGAATCAGATTAAGTCTACTGCTGCCAACATGCTGTGTGTCTGGGACTTTCTGGAGCCAAGCGCTTACACAGGTTAACCAGCATTTCACCACAATAGCTATAAGGACGTAATTCCCATAATCTTCAACTAATTCTTATTAATTAATAGTTTCTGTGTGTGCTACCATGGCAATATAATTCCTGGCTGTTCCTCAGAAACAGGCAGTAATCATGTGTGGTTAGCACACAGGGGCTCATATCCTTCTAAGATCCAGCAATTCATTTCAATTCTCTGTGGGGGACATGACACTGAGGCCTTTATTTCAAACACCATGTACCCAGTCTAATTGAGTCCTAATGTCCTGTGAAGAGGACATCCTGGGATTTCAAGTGATGTAACACACATGGAGATTTGGCCAACAGAGAACATTTTCTGTGTTGTTCAAAATGGCAGGAATAGCAGCAAACACATTTTTGGCAGTAAGCAGGATAAGTGGTTGAATATTTCAAGATATATTGTTTCTGTTCTTCATATGGATGTTGTTTTTTATTTATGATATATTCTGGGCTTTTATTGGCTTTTTTATTTGATAGGTGCAGCTGAAGAGAGAGGCAATGACATGCAGCAAAGGGCCAGAGGCTGGAATTGAACCTTTATGTTAATTATAAGCCTTTCAAAATACACATTTGAACTCATGCACCTTGCAGGGGACAGTGGGACTTGCTTCTTCTCATTTTCAACCATTTTTTCACATTTCAGGAAACAGAGCATTTAAGTGACTGTAAAGATTTTATTTTCCTGCATTTCTTTGATCAGGCTGCCATAAGAGAGACCACCGGACGATTGGGAGACCTGTAAAGGACAGGTTGCAGTGCTTTTTGTGAAAAACATGTGATATGTTTCTTACATCCAAATTAATGAAATTATGTAAAGGAATCATAATAATACAACGCTTTTTAGGAGGCTATAGATTTCTACATTTCTCCTCAGAAATATTGCTTGTTTCATTGTAACTCCACTCATCTTAATAATATTCTAGAGCAATGCTTTTAATTTGAAACCACTGACCGGAAACCGTATAATGTTTATCTCCTGGATGGCTTCACATCAGCGGACTTTAGACGACGGGGTCTAGAGGATGAAGCACTCGGTTGTCGGTCGTATCAGGATCGACCACTACATAACTAGTAAGTTGTTTTCACCTTGTGTTTCATTTCCCGCCACAATAAAGTGACATTTGAAATGTGTTTGAGCTCTAAAGGATGCAACAAGTGCTGCTGAGTGAGCCCACCGCGCTGCACCTGCAGGGTCCTGGCAGGCTGACGATAAACTGCGATACTAACAACTTTTTCTGTCTGATTCTGTTGTGTATTAGTCGACAAACTTGCTGTTAGTTTAATTGGATTCGTTGTTATGTTATGTTAATGCATATGCATTGACTAGTTAAGTTGATTAACTTTAGAACCAAAATATGCTAGTATAAGTTGCTAAAAGCTGTAATTTTGGTGGTTTAGTTTATTTTTTTAAAAACGCTGATGTCAAGCTAAAGTTAAGTTAAATAAAAATGGCAATAGTAGGCCTACACTGTAAAATCAGATTTAACTCAAAACATTGCTTTGCTACAAACTGATTGCATCAAGTAACACAAACTCACC